CAATCCGAGTACGACGTTTGTAAATTTTGGAAAAGGAAACCGTCTGGAAAAAAAGGAGGAATACAATAGGCGATGTCTTAGTGCAATGGCCCTGTGGTGAAAGGACATATTTGAGGCGTCGCCTATTATATGCAGTTTTATTGACAAAATGTGAGGTTGCTTTAGTGTGCTTCATTGTGCGTAAATGTAGAGCACAGGTAAAATGCAGGCTATGCATTAGGTTCAACCTCATCCAATGTGTCCAACATACATTAAACAAATCAATGTTTCTGATGTGCATTGAAGGCCACAGCATTACATTGATACTCTTGTCTTTTTGGTTTATATTTGGTGCTGTAATACACGTTAATCTATTTTGCTCCACCCTAGGGATTTGCTTTAATTGGTGCATCTAATCCTGGAGCTGATCTAAAGACATATACCACCACAAACTCCACCGATTTCCAATAGTGCCTTTTTATTCGTGTGCCACACAGTGCCACTAAGACTGCCATGGGAAGTCAGGCTGTTTTATATTCATTGAGACAGCCTTTGCAACGCGGTAGTTCTGTGGTTACATAATTAAAATGTCGAATGCTGTCACTAACAAAATACAAAAAATCATAACATCAGCGTAGCATAGCTGGGTAATATTATTAATTCTTTGTGTGCTGTCAAGTTCTTGTAGATGCAGAACAAAAGATAAGGGATGCTCCACTCATCAAATGATGGATCTGGTGATTTTGACATCGATTTGCAATGGTGCCAAATTTACCCTGGTAGAAGATCTACAGCTCATCCGCCAGCCATAAATCAAGTTTTTCCCACGTATTTTATTTCCTATTGCTTGAAAGAAGTGGTTCTTAACCTTTACTGCAGCCTTGTACCCCCTTTGGTTCTCAATCGCAAAACAAAAAATGTTAATTAACACATATGTTTGATGAAACAAAGTAAGTTATCCCTACACGGCTGCGCTTAAACTGTGTTTTCAATTATTTACCTTCTAAAAAACAATCTGGCCATGTCTCGCACCCCCAGAAAGGGCAGCCCATACCCCCAGGAGTGCGTGCACCCCAGGTTAAGAAACCACTGTTTTTAAACATCTCAATCCAGTACGTGTTTGAGCTTTGATTTCTATCATTGAAAAACATTCGTCTTCCTATGGAGCGGTGGCTCTCAGCCTCTGGTTCCGTGGACTGCTGGCGCAGGTCCGCAAAGACATAGGAAGTGGAACGCGGAACTGTTGCAGATATACATTTTCATCACAAAACACCAGATATTTTTTGTACTGTATGGTGGTCTGTGAAAATTATTTCAGGGTTGACAGTGTTCCACACATCCATAAAGGTTTGTAACCACTGCTATAGAGTAAATATACTTGAACGTATATATAGCATGCAAACTCATTATGCCTTTCATTATAGGTGATCGATATTGGTTTTAGCTTTGAACAGGGCCCCTATATTTTAAATGGAGTACTCTTGCCAATTACCATCTCGTTTTACAGCAGAATTTGTTTAACAAACCTAACTGCCGATGGGACCCAGAAGGTCACAACCGGTCCAGAGATTGCTTGCTTTATCAAATGCTGCTTCGTAATATTGGTCTGGACAGCCAAGAGCCTGATAGACTAAATCATTGCTATTTACACGTGGAGACAGAAGATATTTGCTTTTATATACTTTACAGCAGTGGTTTCCAACCTTTTTTGGCTGCTGTACGTACCCCTTTGTTGAATTTTGTATCAACCGAGTATCCCATTTGCCTCATCCAACATGGTTCTGAGAAAAAAAAATCTATGAATAATGAACATAAATATATGAACTTCATAATAAAGGCTTTTGGGTTAGATCGCGTTGTTTATAAATGTGTCGCAACCCTCCACCACCCGACACGGCCAATCAGTAAAAAAATGTGTCACGTTGACAAAAGACAAATAGTTCACTACTTTAGCCCACCGGTGTGTTGAAGAGTGAATCCACAACATTAACAATGTTTGAGTACGCCGTTTCGCTGGTAATGACATTCAGCATCATCGGGCAATTTTCCAGAATGGTGAAGCCCTCCACTTGCTCCCGGTCTTTAATAGAGCAGCAGGGTGACGTCATCATTTAACCCAATCAGGTGCAGAGATCATAGGCGGAGGGGGGGGGTATTGTAATTATATAATAGATTAGTAATCAGGTAATTGTTATGATTAGTAATCAGTTGTAGATTAGTAATTAGTTGTAATGTGTATTATTTAATAACTGAACCCAAACACTATTCCCAATCATGTGCAGAAATCAGAGGTGGCCGAGGGGGGGGGGGTTAAAGTAGTGAGCTATTTGTCTTTTGTCAACGTGACACATTTTTTAATGATTGGCTGTGTCGGGTAGTGGAGTGTTGCGCCACATTTATAAATAATGCGATCTAACCGAAAAAAACATTTATTATGAATAATATTGGTCGTGAAAGCCTACGTGATAAATATATTAACCTACGTCAGCAGCCCTCCTGCTGTGTTTGTGTCACACCTGATGACGGACGCTTGTGTTGCGATCGAAACGTCGTGATCTATACTTTTTTCTACCTAGATGACTTTACCGAAAGAACCAAAGAGTATTGTCCATTTTGTGGGGTATTCTAACTCGCTCGTATTTTGTCGTAGTAATTTTATTTTGGAAGATTTATACATGATTATTATTCACCAATGACGCATCGTATGCTAAAAATTCACACATTTATAAATCACTTCACATACCCCCCCCTGGGGCATTTCCACCTACCCCCAGGGGTTCGTGTATCGTGGGTTGAGAACCGCTGCTGTGCAGTATGGTGTTCATAATAGTGTAATGACTCCAGTGATAAAATTGGTAAAAAAAAAGATTTAGTGAGGTTTATTTAATAACATAGAGCTTATGATATTTGCAGTCTCGTTCGAACAGTGGACATTAGCAGGCCAGCAAGTAAAGATCACATTCGGTATATTCCTGTTTGTACCGCTGCCAAATACACACACGTTTTCTCGCTTTACTCTGGCAGTTGTCAACCCGAAGCTTCACTATTCTCTAAATTAGCAGCATGTGCTTATGTGCTGAATTTCTTCTCTTCATTCTGAGTATTTTTGTTCTGCCTGCAATGCCATCTTGTGAATGCGTTATATAAAATAAACCGAGCGCAATGGCAGTTTAACAGAATTGATTTCTGCACGTAGAGAATTTTTTTTCCATGAAATGGAAATGTATACGGTAATAGCTTGATGCTATTACACGTCATTGGTTGAGCCATGATTAGTTTGGTCTTGGTGAGCTTGTTTTTTTTTCATATAAATAGTGGATGCTGATTTGTTAGCCAACCACTGATTAAGGCACCCATCCACATAGGGCATTAGTTTGCATTAATGGAATATTATACGGGGTTTTTAAAAACGAGAACTAGAGATTCAGTGCTCAGACAAAGAGATGTCTCGGCTTTCAAAAAGGTTTAGGATTTTTCTGATGGGTTGCTCAGGGTTTTCTATGAAGTTTGTTGTATCTGTAAATGGATTTTTTTCCTGTAGAAATGCCAGGTTGATTAATCATAAATATATATTTTCTCGAAGATTTTGAATACATTAGCATTTTAAAATGTTTCTTCCTTTTAGAGGTATTGCAATTATTGATTTGCCAGAAAAAAAAATCTGTTTTGTGCACGCTCCAATGCTTTTGGCAATTTTTTCTTGTAATGAAAGTTGCTGAGGACAAAATTGAGATCTTTAACCACTCCATATAAAGCTTCTGGCTAATTAGTCGCTGGATTACTCAACAGACATGTCACTGTTATCATAATTTTGATTCTCACGATGCATAATCCTCTGAATCTACACCTACCAGTATCTACCATCCGTACTGAAAGAAAATCGGGCATTCCCAGCATGTGCAGTAGTTGATAAATATATTTAGCCGTGTGGATGTCTGGTAAAACATACACATAGTTAAATAGATTTCATGTCTCGTGAGATTGCTATACCAACTGCTTACTTCACTGTTACAAGTGTGCCTTGCGTAATTTGTTTGAAATGGTGAAGGCGTCAAGAATCTGGTCTAAAAACTGAATGAGGCCTAACTGGTGTAAATAATTGCAGGTTGGCATGGCAGGAGAGAACTCCGCTCTCTTGCCAACAACGACACCCGTATTTGGTTTATTTATAACTTCACATCCTTCTCTCCGCTAATTGGCACTACCCTGCATGCGTGCCATTAATATTTGATAATTGGCACATCCGGGGAGAGGTCACCATGTGTGCAGTATGTCCCCTGTCCCTGCATGTGTGCTTGTGCTAGTGGGGAGCGGTAGTGTAGCGGTTAGCGCGCTGCACTACGAACCTGGCGACCCGGGTTCGACTCCCGCTCACGGCAAACACTAGTGACGATTATTTGAACCGGTCCTGGGCCTCCCCTAGGTCGACTCAGCCTCAAATGAGTACCTGGTGCGATGTGTAAACATCGCCGCTAGGGAGACAAAGGCGGTCGGGCGTGGTGCTGGCCACCCACCCCCTCGTGTACCGTTCCGGCCTTCATAGGTGCTCGCTAACAGCACTTGCCCCTACAGTCTGTTAAGGCTATACGGGGGATCTTTGTACTGCATGGGGAGCAGTAGCATAGTGATAACCGCTGTCACCCGAGTTCGATTACTGCTCATTGCCAACAATCAGTGGTGAATGTTTGAACCGGTCCTGGGCATCCCCTAGGTCGATTCAATTTCAAACGAGTACCGTAGTGCACTGGGGAGCCAAATGAGGTCTGCAACGGTGCTGTCTGACCACACGGGCGATGTCCATCTTTCTTCTTGGTTCTTTCGGTAAAGTCACGTAGAAGGGAAATAATAAAATAATAAAAATAAAACATAATAAAATAATGTAATATAATAATATTTTCATTATTTTATTTTATTATTTCCCTTCTACGTGACTTTACCGAAAGAACCAAGAAGATGAATCCCTGCAGTCACAAAAGCTTTAAATAGAGATGTCCATCTTTGTTTGCCGTGTGGTGGTGCAGCTGGTGACCGATGCCCTGCTGTCGCTGTGCACCGTGTACCCGCGGAGGAACCTGCCCGCGGATCAGTGGCGTGCCGTGCAGCTGCTGAGCCTCATCAGCGCGCCGGCCACCATGATCAACCCCGCACAGTCCGACACGGTGAGTGGACACACGACGCAAGCGCCTGGCTGACTCTCTCATATTCACGATGCACACGATTATCCCATAGGCCGGCACAGCAGGATATGCCCAAGACATTGTTACCAGACTTGTAGGTTTTGTGTCTGTAGATTTGAAGCTTTCGTGACTGCAAGGATTCATACTCTTAGTTTTTCGGTAAAGTCACGTAGGTAAAAAATGAAATTAAAATTAATAAAAGTAAAAGAATAAAAATCACGACGTTTCGGGTGACGGTTTCACCTGAAGACGGAAGCTTGTGTTGCCTCCGAAACGTCGTGATTTTTATTCTTTTATTTTTATTAATTTTAATTTCATTTTTTACCTATGTAACTTTACCGAAAAAACTAAGAGTATTGTGTCTGTGCCATATTTTATACGCCTATGTATGTGTTTACAATCGCGGCTTTTATTCTCTTGCCACTTGCTATCAGAGTGTATTACATGCCTCCCTACAGATGGAGCTGTAGAAAAGCTCATCTGTGAGGTGCTGAAATCAATAGTGAGGAGGCAAATATGGATGGGTACAAATATATAATACATTTATATCCCCCAATATAGTGTGATAAAGTTAATATTCAATATGGACAATGCAGTGCGCCATTGGGTACTGTGCTTGAATGTGTGTATTTGGAATGTAATATAGTATGGTTGCATCAATGTGCCACGTGATGATGTGTGTTGAAACATTTTACGAACAAATGATAGACATGGCGATAAGACGTGTAAATACCGTGCATACAGATGCATGACTTTGAATTGTTATATTTAAATGATGTTTTTTTTATGTAAAAAATTTCCACACAAATCCATGATATTCGCATTTGGGTATACACTTATCTTCACAGAGGTTTCGTTTGTGTGTATGAATGTATAGTTTGTTAAAGTTATATTTTATCTGGAAATGCAGATCAACATTGGCATCGTTAAAACGCAGACTCTGTTGATGACAATTCCATCATCACCAGACCTGAACATGCACCAGTTAAGCGAGAAATGCCAAAATCAAATAACGCAGTTGTACGAGTGTAATAATGCGTACTCACGGGAGAGCATCTTTATTGTTCTTGACAACGCCAGACTTATTGCATTCGCCAAAATGTCCTGGAAGCGGTGTTCTAGCCACTTTTTTAATCAGTTTGCTTGTGATGTAATTTATGCCTTCAAATAATTGCATTATAATCCTATAGATTCTCTTTGATTCTTTCGGTAAAGTCACGTAGGTATAAAATAAAATAAATCACGACGTTTCAGGCACAACACAAGCGTGCGTCATCAGGTGGGAAAGCATGGCCTGCTGCTGATGACGGATGCTTGTGTTGCGTCCGAAACGTCGTGATTTATTTTATTTTATATCTATGTGACTTTACCGAAAGAACCAAAGAGTATGGATTCCTGCAGTCACGAAAGCTTCAAATCAAAATCCTATAGACGTTCATCGGACACTTGCCTGCATTAATATCACCTGAAATGTATTTTTTGTCCCCGCAGATGCCGTGTGAATACTTATCCCTTGACAGCATGGAGAAGTGGATCGTCTGTGAGTAATATAGGCTATTTGGCCACAGTCACTTTAAGTATATAAGGGTGTCTGTTAAAGGTGTCTGCCCCAAAACTATTCGAGAATTATAATCAGAAAATATTTTTAACCGTGAGGTTGAAATGCTGGGCACATTTCCTGCATGGACTTGAGTTTTAAAGCCAAAACGTGTTTGTGCTCTTTAATGCTTGAATGTTCAAAACGATAATATCTGAAGTATTGGGCTCTCTCAAATCTCGAGACATCCGTGGATGGATATCAGCTGCCGCCTTGTTTATGGGATAGAGTGTTGCTCCCTCACATGTGTAGGGTTTACTCCAGGTGCTCCGGTTTCCTCCTAAGTGTTTAAACACTCACCAATTGACTGAAAACGTCTTTATATATAGAGAACTGCAGAGCAGTTGTTGGCGATGGCTCACCGCCCGCTATCGATCCAGCTTGGTCCGTGATTTCTCAGCGATTGTGAGATGTCATTTACATGATCGAGGACGCTAAATACAATTGACAATTCTGTTTTTTACGTATGTTACCAACACCTCGGCAGACACGCAGAGGTTTGTAGCGATGAGACCCATACGATAAAATCTTCACACTACCAAGTGAGCGCATGTAGTTTTATTCACCCAGCCCCAGACTTTGTAATTCTGTATGCATAGATGATATCTTTGTGGACACCTGTACACGTATATTTTTCCATAATAAGCCATACATTTAGTTGTGTGATGTTGCGTAAAAAGTACTGTAATAGTCACTTTCATGTGGTTTAAACTAGCTGGGTTCACGTTTATTAATGCGTTGTGTTTGTGTTATTGGTGTCAAATTATTCAATTGCATTTTCAATAAGCACACGATCGAGTGTATTTCAAAGCAATATTTTTTGTTGCATTTGGAGCAACCAATTAAGGCAATAGCTTCGCCATGTCACTGCAATCCCCTCCGTGTTTAAGATCAAGGCTTAAATTGCACACTTCAGGCAGATTATATTATTTGTGATTCTTACTCACATATGCCCTCAGCAGAGCTGAGGCCTTCAAAAAGTGAGTCTATCAAAGCTGCAGTGGTGCCACACATCTTTCCCTTGTCCTACCCTACATTACCAAAGTGTCATTTTCCGCATGAATGGTGAAAGGTGGGAAGGTTACAGGCAAGGGAGATTGGCAGCAGAGACATGGAGGTTTAGCGCCGCTTACGTTTGAAACGTGGATGTGTAAAAAGTGCCCCTCAGAGGCTCAAAGACGCAAATATTGATTTCAATTTGTTGACACGTGAGAGCCAAGTGCCAACACATTGTTGCAAATAAACACCACAGTGAAATATAAAATCGAGTTGTAATTCCAAAGAACACAGGATGAGATGTTACTATCCTTTGTGCAAGCACTTCCAAGAGTTCATGAACAGTGAGCCTGGTGAAATTTGGGGAGCGCATCGTCAGTAGTGACCCTTTGGTTCCTAGGGTGTAAAATCATAACATGTTTATATTATCATGGTTTATCGATTTTTGTTCTACAGTGACATGCAATATATTCATCCGGTTGGCATCGATTGTGTTGCATTGCAGTCTTGTTTTCTAGTAAATCAATTCAGATATATTTCTTTTACTTTTAAATATGCAATGATATTCTACATTCATATTGATGCCCAAAGTACCACTGCATCCTTGAGAGAATTCATATTGCTTATTTAATCATAGGCCATAAACTCATGATGAAAGTAAATAATTTCATGGTCATGGAATGTTATTTAAAACAATCCGACATCTCACTGGTATATTCTGCAGTTGTTTGGCAGCATTAATTGTGTGTACGTATTGAAAATACATACTGATACATTAATGGAAAACAGATTTGTCAACGATTTTAATTATTTTAGTCAATGATGACTATGGACCATAATAGAGTTTTTTTTGGGTTAGATCGCGTAAATATATAAATGTGTCGTTAAAACTCGCCACCACCCGACACAGACAACTAGTAAGGCTTGGCTCTCCAACACACCGGTTAGTGCTGTACTAGTGACGAATTGGCATTTTCTGTTTACGTAACAACCCTTACTAGTTGGCTGTGTCGGGTGGTGGCGGGTTTAACGACACATTTATATATTTACGCGATCTAACCCAAAAAACCTCTATTATGGATGACATTGGTCGCGAAACCCTACGTGTTAAAGATGACTAAGAGTCAGACAAAAGTCATCAAGCATGGTAATTCTGTGAATCCCCACCCCAAACCTAGCATGTCTATGGCAAGATGAAATGAACCAGGCTGATTGGTTTCACTGATTGGAATAACTAAGAGTAGACAATATTTTGACAATTGTAGTTGACCAGAAATAAGGGAATGACTACATATGAAATCCACAGACTAGGACTTGGCTGAAATTTCACAGGTTTGTCGGCAATTATACGAAGATTTAAAAAACTCTAACTAAATTAACACCGTCTCTGGGCCATCTCCCCACGTGCCACCTCCAGTCGGATTCCTGCTGTGCCACAGCACCCTCAACACCGACCAGAATGCTCAGATGCTGTGGAAGCTGACACTTAGCAGTGGCTTCTGCCTCCGCTTGTTCCGCGATGAGATCTTCCACTTCCACAAAGTGACCGAGGAGCTCTTCACCAACATGAAGGGGTGAGAATGCGGCCACACATCACCTCATTTACCGGCCTGCACAGTACGTGACCAGGATAGCATCAACAAAGCGTCATTGGATGCCAAAGCCAAAGCGAATCACGATTGGTGTCCGGATGATGCTCGAAATATACCCTCATGATCCCGGCTGTAAAAGAGCCGTTCGATGTTTGAAGGTCGCTTTTTGACACCGTGCACGATTGTCTTTGGCATCCTTTGATCATGTATTGGCTAAATATATATTTTGCACATAGTGTAGCTTGATTAATTTGCTCACAGCCTGCCTCCGAAATTCAGCTTCATCTTCGTTTGATGGTGGGATGCTCCTTCTACCCAAATGCTACATGTAGTCACATGCTCATCTCGCTGATAGCTCTCTGCATCTGCCATTTGGTGCATAAGCTCACAGTATATCTCTTGCTTTTGACGTAAGATACAATTTTGATTGCTGAATAAAAAAAATGAATTGGGTGCTGGAATAAATACTTCTACATCCCATTATTTTACACTTGCCATCACAGCTCGGGGCACTTTGCCAGCCTTTATGCTGGGCACATTTGCCGCTTGCACGTCCATTCGTTACGCGCGTGCACGACTCTGAGTTTCCACAAGAATCCGTGCATCTGCTGCGCACGCGCCGCGTGCTGCTTTTTACGTGCGCACGTTCGCTCGCTCTCTCTTCGCATATTCGGTGCACACGCGTTGCTCGCACGGTCGTGCGGCCCGCTCTTGCGTGCGGGCGGGCGGGCACCCGAGCCACGCTCCACCGCTTCCGTGCATTAAAGAGCCATCACGAGCCGCCCACCGAATCGCGTGTGTGCACTGCTGTTTTATCTGTTGAGACAGATGGTGTGTGTTTAGCAGAAGCAAGTTAAACAATAAAGCATCGTAAGCTATGGTGCCGTCTTTGTTACGAATTCCCGTTCTGATGCCATCCAGTGAGTGAATTGGTGAGGGTCCCCTGTACTCGTACATGGTACCGCCGCTTTTCTTGTGCGTCGTGGAACTTGCGTACGAGTAGGAACGCGTTTGTTAGCTGGCACAGGTGCACGTCACAAACGATTCCAATTTAATTTTATGCTTCTGCTGCTGGGAGAGTGACATATGTGGCACAGGCAGCAGGTGAGTCAGCAGAATTTGTTACGTGCAGTCAATGTCATAAATCTTCCCGGAATAAACTGGCGGTTGTAATGACATGGCTCTGTGAACTGCACAATTGGGATTTTGGGACACACTGAGAATTCATATCGGTAAAAAAGGGTCCTGCAGCAATGCTAATTGCAAGACGTTTCATTTATGTTTGACTTTTCAAATGTGTTCATGTCACGTTTTCTGTAGGTACAACAAACGTGTTGCTGATATCCGAGAGTGTAAGGAGCAAGCCCTCTCCCAAGCGTAAGTTGTAAAAATCATTCTCCCGAGTTTTTTGGATATTATCACTGACATTTGAAGAGCAAAAAAAAACTGCCTTGAAGAACACTTCAATGGCAGTTTGTTCATTTTTGCAGCAACGCTTTAAAATTCAAGACATCCCTTCAAATAATATATAGGGTAGAACCTTTCTGTGTATGATGTGAGGCTGCCCTCTACTGGCCTAAAAACCGTCCTGGATCGGAATGTCACTTTATTTTGGTGATTTCGAAAAGTGTATTGGTTTAGCCATGTTTGTTTGTTGTAGTACATAGTTAGTCTGATGGCCTTAATCTAAGTTGTCTTGTGGTTGTTGTTGTTGTTGTTTGACTTGCATCCCACTGGGATTTTTGCACACAGCGTTGGTGTACGGTGTTTTTTCTGCAATATTTTGCTGTCTTTTCTTGTATTTTCTGTTTGTACTCAGTCACATATTTACTTTAAGATGTTTTTTTGTTCATGTTTTAGTTTTGTTTGTTTGTTGCGGTTGCACCCGATTCAAGAGCCGAATGGCTCACAGGGCTATACCTAATAAATGAACTTGAACTTGCTCTGCATCTACATCAGCCATACGTAAGAAGATGATTAAGAGCCAACCGAAACGCATAAATGTTTTTATGTTCGGGTCTTTAAAGTGATAAACTGTAGTCTCAACCAGGTTAGCGATTGCCCCACAGAAGGTTTAGCATGTAACGACTTAAAGGTCAACACTTATTGTTACGTTAATTTTGATTTATCTTCTCGACCTAATTCTCTCTTGTTCTTAAATGTTACGTCAAAAAAGAAATCACAAAACCAACCAATATCACCTAACCGCATTTCCACCCTCAGGTAATTGTCTGCCCCAATGAAAGCCGTTGTGACACTTTTTACTTTAGGTATTCTAAACATCTTCTTTGATAGTAAAGGTGTACATGTGAGTGCTTGGTGCATGCGTGCATGTATGTTGACCTTCTTTCACACCGTACATAGCCAACCATGCTAATCGGTTGTACGGGGCAAGGACGACACTTGCTTACATGTGTATGGGCCCATGCAGAGAGGATATGTGGTGTTTTATGGCAATGACAGGTGAAGCAACTTTGCTGTTGGGAATAGAATAATGTCAGAATCGGCAGTGGATGGGACCTATAGTTCATCGACCAAGAGGAAGCTCTGATGCCAGATGGTTGGATGCGACTAAAAATAATTATTCAGCAGACCTTGGAGGTGTCGATTGTGCAACCGTTGCCTATCTGAAGAAATCGACGGAGTGAAGAGGAATAATGACGTTGGCTTTGGTGCAACTTGATCATGTTATAACCACGTTGCGTCACTTTTCAGTGTACTCGGGGTTGACGAAAGGATTGCACGTCTGAGTCCCTGTTACGTTTGCACCTGTGGTGGTACGACAGGGGCCTGATGCACCGGGAGCGCAGGAAGTTTCTCCGCGCGTCTCTGAAGGAGCTCTGCACAGTGCTGGCTGACCAGCCCGGCCTGCTGGGACCCAAGGTAAGCCTGTCTGGCTGGGCCCCACTGCATCGCTCCACACACCCCGTCTATCATCTAAGACTCAGGTCAACCATGTCATTATTCCACATTGCCATGTGAATACATGTATTTCAACAATAATAGGGTTTTTCCTCCTTGTTTTTTCTGGCAACAAAACTGAAACCTTTTTTACAAGGATTCATGTCTGCATTCACCACAATACTTGCAGTCAAAATCCAAACAAAAAACACACTATGATAATTTATGCATTGTCCTTGAAACGGATTGGTCCACACCAAGGACGGATTTCTTTTGAGCCTCGACCCAATTGGTGCTCGACCAGAGGACACCTTTTGCATTTTGACTGCGTGTATTGCGGTTAATGCAGACATGAATCCTCGTAAAAAGGTTTCAGTTTTGTTGCCAGAAAAAAAGGGGAAAAACCCTATTATTATATTTTGGTACTGGCAAAGGAGGTCTAATTATGTATTTCAACTTTTAATTCATCATTCATTTGATACTGAGGTGGCAACTGGTGGTGAGATTTTAAGGGTACTTGAAATTGGAATTGAAGGTGGGGTAACAAGGTGTGTAGGGGAATGTGTGGGACTGACTTCCTCCAACATCGTCATTGTGAAGACAAACGATGATGACATTGACTCCTCTCCATTGGAAACTTTCAGTCAGGCATAGAAATTCCGCATTCAATAGGCAGAAGCTAGTCTCTCCATAGGACAGCCACTTTTTGACTTCCTGTAGAGTGGTGGTACACATTTTATTGCTGTCAGAGAGAGATAATCACAGTGATTCACATCGTTATCTTCATCATCAGCCTTGTTATCATTGAAATAATGCCTTGTATTGATCCCAGATGCACAATTACGAGTATCATTATAATTGGTGTGCATAATTACCAACATTATCATCATAGCTATTACTAACCTTGGTATAATTCATAGGGCATCATCTCAGGAATATGAAAGGTCACACACCATGTGAGTTTGTGAAACTTTTGGTTTTTAGAATAAATATCTATGTTTTCTGTTATGCATGCCTATGTTATGAACCGTAACCTGCTCTATTTCAAGTTGGGAACGTTCTGTAATGCACAAACCCTCGGATCTATGCATATATATACTACACTGTGTCACTTTTAACATTGCTGGTCAGTGTTCATGTAGAATAACCAGTCGTATTTCTGATGATTGCAATTTTTTCGTAGATATTCACGTTTCTTAATACGATCATGGTTTATTATTAGAGTAGTGTTTAATGTGTAACGCGTGCATGTTAGGTTTCCTCTGAAATACGGGACGTGTGTCATGTACAATATTTTCTTTCCTATTCATAGTTTCAACGTTGCAATGATCTTGAAAACTTGGTGCGTGATTTAGATTTTATTACAATTCATGAAATTCGCCGAACGACATCCGCTGAGCATTCCCTTTGCTGTTCAAATCTCGTTGCAGGCACTGTTTGTCTTCATGGCGCTCTCCTTTTCCCGGGATGAGATCCTGTGGCTGCTGCGGCACGCGGAGAATTTGCCGAAGACAAAAAACATCGAGGACTACGTGGACAAGCGAGTAGTTTTTTTTTTTATTTGACACACCTTTCACGTTTTACATTTGCACGCACAGCCCGCTGTGTCAATCCTCCGCTGGATGAGGGCCTCCCCTCCCCAATGCCTCGCGGGCCGTGAGCGATGTTTGACTATACTTCACCACTCTGGTCAGTTCGGATTGGTGAAGGTGAGAGTGGGGAGTGCAGCACAGCATCAATGGATTTTGCTGTAATGTCCCCCACTGCTTGCGACACCTGCTAGGCCAGTCTTGTTGAATGTGACAGTTGCCCATACAAGCACTGCCCAGACTCGAGCCAAAAGCTTAGCTTTTCAGCTCTGATAAGATCAGACACATTGTGGGTGAGTTTGTCATACACAAGGCTATGTTTTGCCAATCAGTGTTTAACACCAGATATCCTGATGATTGAATTCCTCATTGCCTTGTCACCTGTCTGACATGCAGCTACTTCAGTCTTCTTTTAAAAGCCATGAAATTATTTGTACTCGTTGCATGCAATGAGTGCACGTTGTCCCCCCCCACCCCACACAGTCATTAGAATATCTACAATTCACAACAATGGTAACGGAGAATCGAAACTCGAATAAATTGTGCACGTTTTGGGGAGGGAGAAGCCGAGTCGTTGCACGGCATCGTTACGCGCCGAGGTGCACAGATAATAACCACGGAGTTCTGTTTCAGGTCACCAGGAGGTGCTCTTCTACTCTGTTAGCCGTGTGTTTTCTCAGATGCTGACAATGGCTCGGGATTGCTCAAATACATCCACCAAATTTCATCAAATGCTTCCCGCGTTTTCCTCTCCCTGGTATAATCCCTTGTGGTATCCACCAGCGGCGTTCAGCTATTAGTCATCTCATTGCTCGCCGCGTTTATGAATCAATCGTAGCTCAAGGTTTATGTTTTAGAGAAATTAACTGCACTGCAAGTTTCGCCTTTGGATTGGGCCATTTCATAATTTGTGCTGTTGATATATTGCCTTGTGATTGTAGATCCACATTACAATCGTCATTTCTTTGGAACTTATATTTGTAAACTATATTTTCAAACTTTTTTCGACAACTATTCCCCAGCTGCCGACATTATCTCTTTGTCTGCCCTCACGTATGTCTCTTATTTTGCTTGAATGTATGTATGTATGTCCACTTGTCCTGTTGTCCATGTATTCAACTGTCCCCTCTATTTTTGTACCCATCTCCCCTGGCTCCACAACCTCTCCAGGCACCAGGCAGAGCTTATGTTCTACATGGAGGAGCTCCGTGCTCTGGTGAGGAAGTACGCCCAGGTGATTCAGCGCTACCACTTGCAGTACCTGGCCGGCTTTGATGCCGTGGTACTCAACGAGCTCGTGCAGGTATGCGGCACCGTTTGCCAAACACCACTGCGCCCGCCCACCACACACTGTGCCTCCGCTATTATGCTCAAATGCTGAGGTTTCCCGACCAGAGCCCACCTTCACACGTGTTTATGTTCTTTCATGCCTAATTGGCAAGACTAATGGGGGACCTTGGCTCCTTCCAACCAGTGCCAGCCCAGGGAGCAGTTCTTTACCCAGGGGGTGGGGGGTGATGGTTCTGCATCCCCACACAATTCATCAGCCATCAGGATCAATGAGCCATGATGAAACAAGGGTCGTGATGATCCACAGGCCGTGATGATCCAAGGGCCATGATGATCCATGGCTCTGGCCCTTCTCAGTCCATCTTCGTACCTCCTGCTCCCCACACAGCCAGAGGGTAGCGGTCGGAGAGTATTGTTTAAGTAAGGGTAGTGGCTCTATCTGAAGACAACTTGCTTGTGACCGCCACACTTTAGATATCCCATGTCAACTTATGATACGTTCCCATGACCGCTGGCGACTTAGCTTCATGGCACGAATAGAGTCCGGGGCTGTTCCAGCACGGCTCATTTATTTTCTTCACGCTTTCATGAGCCACGTGGCTCCGTGGGATTGGACCTTCATGCTTCCCCCGCCTTTTCTATTACCTCCACAGCCATAGTAGGAAAGTGATTATATTTTATATAACAGAATTAATGTACGATGGGATGGTGCTATTCTGTTACTTTTAGAATTGTTCTACCGAGTTTGTAAAAAATAAAAACCCCCACAGCTCTGAAGCTGAACGACACAATGAATCTGCCGAATAATCATGCCATTTCCACGTAGGCTCCGTGATGTCATGGCTGCTTCCAATGGTGGCTTGGGTACAAGCCTTAAAGGGAGCCACGGGGCCCCCCGATAACTGGCTCATTGGGTGCTGTGTCAGCTCGGTGAGGCTGCGTGGGAATCTGGGCCAAACCCACTCGCCCAGTTTGCAGACCGACCTGGCTTGGCTCCAAGTGGGCGTGGGAACGTGGCATTACGAGTCCATTGAGCTGGGCTGGCCCCCCGGTGTCCACCGTGGGGCAATCAGACCAGAGTTGCTCTGAACAAAAAAAAATCTGCACGTGGAAATGGAAGCTTATATCTTCATCAGTCCCCCCACCCACCCACCCACCCCTGACCACCTCTGGCAACGTGTATCCCCAAACCCCATATGGCCCCACGCTGTCGTCACTGCACAAACACTCAGTGGCCACGCAGATAGTGGGAGATAAATGTGTGAGAAAAATCATTAAACATTTGTACGACCTGTGCGTAATTCACTTTGCGAAGAGCGGAGGAAGAAAAGGGAAGAAGGGCAAATGTGCTTCAATGGCATTGCCCTCGCTTGAGGGAAATGTTCTGTTTATAAACATGACTTCATAATGCGTTTTTTTTACGCCTATAAAGTTAGATAAGAACGAGAGTTGTCCGCTGTAGACAAAGAAGTCGGGAGGGTCGGCAACTGAGTCAAACATGTTGTTGTAGCGAGTTGGTTGAAACCGATGACGGAGGTTGACTCATTTATCATGTGATCAGGTCATTTTTTACTTTTGCTCTTTGGAGAGTAAGGCAAGCAGATCAGCATCAGGTGCACGCAAGCAGCAATGAAGTTGAAAAAATGTCACTCGCCAAGAACAACACGGTGGCAGGCGTATTTTTGTCAAAGAGCAGATGCGGTCGTTGAACTTTCTTGACCCAGAATACGCTCTCTTAAAGAGTCGATGAAGAAGGTAAAAAAATAATGAAGGGGAGAAATGGAGAGCGCAACAAAGAAAACACTGTTGACTTCTTCCCACCTGAAATGTCAAAAAGGAAAGAGTTCCTCGTCGCCGTTGTTGCCACCAGGTTGACAAGTCACGCACTCCTCCGCTTCGGTTGGCGTGACCGAGTGGGGCGCGACGGCCGCGGGAGAGAGACGCTCGCGGCCGGCTGCCCGCCGTTAAGCGCGGGCGGGCGGGAAGTGGTGGCGCTGGGCCCAAGCAGAGCAAAGCAAATGCTTCGAGTCCCAAAGCAGTTAAAGGGGACCGGGATTCATGACAAGCAGGGTGCATCAAAACGTCAGCTCGAATTAAAATCGTAATAAACATAGCAATGTACTTTGTACGTTTTAATCCGTAATCTGATTCGCGTGAAACGTCAACATCTCTATCTTGTCTGTAGCTCTCATCTATCATCTTGCCACATCTCTGTGTTTATCTGCACTCCTCTTATCTCGCTACATCTATATCTCTTCTGTCATCTCTCAAGGATTTTATAATTGAAAGGTAGGGCTCCAAAAATTGTTTCTGCTTAGGGACGCCACTGGGCTAGCATCCACCGCTGCAGGCATTGGATCCTTGGTCTCAGTCCCAGGGCGTTTGTTTTGCAGTTTGGGTTATGTCCAGTGCAGAAAGAGTGAGCTGTGTAGCAATGGGTGGCAGGAAATCCATCCTAGCAATGCAGGGCAGGGGATCCTTATAAAGCCAAATGTCACAAATCGTGCTCTGGTGGATTTGGGATTTTCATAAAAATCATTATCACACCTTAAGACAAAGTTTTTTTAAAAATAGCTTTGCAAAACATCTCCATATAAATGCGTGACTGAGTTAATTTATATAGACTTGCGCCAACTTTGACAGCATATAGTTTGCACAGGGGTGAGAACCCACAGTGGAAAACTCTTTGTGTTTGAACGCTAATAAAGTCTGCAAATATGGAACGTTTCAGCACTGCAGGTGTTCTGGAAGTGTAATAGCCAAACATAGCAAAGGGTGCTCAGTTGTACTTTCCTCATGCGCTTCACCACGAGAGAAAGTAATGCGCCAATGGGACAGAATCTCCCGTAATATGTGCCTTAGCCAACATAACAATTCCCAACCGTATCGGCGGATAAAACACTTGGTCACAAGAGACAAATACATTCCGTAAGTGGATGCATTTTTAAAACAAAGAGATGGTGCCAGATACTGTGTGTGACTTCTGCTGCACTCTCGCAGAGTTGACTTTGAGCATCTGCACTGGCAGTGAATACAAACGGAACACACATCCCACTCGATGTTGAAATATGAATAAGTTTCCACCGCGAGTTCCCACCACCCACTAAACTGTCCGCCTTAAAGGATTGCTTCGCTTGCCCGATTTCAGTATGATGCACATGTTAGTCACACGCAGCCAGCAAACCACTGTCCACGCTCGCATTTTTATTGTGGCTCACCGTGCATCAATAACATAAATGTTTCTTTTAACGTGTGATGTCAGTACATTAATTACCAGCAGTCAGCAGATTTAGTCAATGGTCAGCTGTGTTGATATGTTTTGAATGAATTCTAATTACTGTAATTTTAAAGGTATTTTTTGTGAAAGAATCGTCATATCTGCGATCGTTCTACGGACTACTCTACGTTCTTGTGGGACCAACACTGGTCCGCGGACCCTAGGTTTTGGTCTTTGTTGCGATCACGGAGGTTGTCGGTCGTCAATTTGGAGTGAAGTCATCACTAAGGGTCCGTAACAATGACAATGAAACACACATGGTGCTTCATTCCCATGTTGACAATTGGTCATTTTAATCGAAATGGGACTGATACCAACAAGGCTGGGTAAATATGACTTGGTCAGTACAAGAAGTGTCTGCGTATTCAGTTGTACATTATTAGACAAGCAGCATCTTAAAATAAATAACTTGATACATTTCATGTAATAGTGGATACTTACGTGAACGCTGTTAACTGGTTCTCTGCAAATGCAACGGTTTGAAAAGTCATCCAAACCCCTCCCAGCTTGGTGTGTAAATTGTTTTTGCACGTGCTTCACTACAGAAAAAATATGATTTAGAATAAAAATAATAATCTCATAACCTATTTATTGGCCCTGACATCTCTTGAAATGTGTAAATTGAAATGTGAAATTGTTGTATAAAGGGTATAAAGCAATTTGATAATTATATCGGCAGCTGGATTTTTATTTAACGTTTTCTATTTTTATTTTAGCAGTTAAAGCCCACTGAGCTACATCGCTCTTTTTCAGAAGCGACCTGGCCACAAATTATAGATCAACAAATTGGCTTATTATGTGGAAATGTATAGCAGCCAAATACTCGCAACGAATGTTTATAAACGTGGAGGGGAAAAACTGGAGGACCCGGACAAAAATCCACTCGACCACGGGGAGAACACGCATATTCCAAATATAGAGGCGTTAGGGTTGGGTATGAACCCACGACCTCCTGTATACCAGGCAAGGTAGTCAACATCTCGCCACCGTAACTAATAAAATCATCGCGGTAACCTAGATCACAATAAAATAGCTTGTAATTTTTTTCCTTTTCCAGAAGTTAGTGTTGTGAGATTATCACGCAGAACGTATTTACTAATTGCGTGATTCTGCACCAAGCTAGGCAGCAGTGTCATCATGTGCAGAATGTGGTGGACAGCCTCATCTGTCTTGCACCACAGCTACAATCTACTTACTTCCTCATCAGATTTGTTTTAAATGAAACCCCAGTTGTGGGCAAACATGTTTCAGCTTTGATCAGCACATTTATCCAAATTGCATCGTCATTAAAGTAACGAGTTCTTCTTTAAGTGTGAAGACATGCTATTACACATCACAGAAAGAGCGTCAGCAATATTTCCAGTTCATACAAAATGTATAGTGTTTTATTGAAACGGTGAACCATAGTTGCATTTAGTAATAATAGGATTGGCAGTTTATTTTTTTATCAGTTTGCATTTTATTTAGCATCATTCAATGTCTTGGGGATAAGAACAATGTTTACATGCTGGGCTTATATAACATGGATTTATTGGGCTGTGCTTATAAAAGTATATATTTAAAATAAAAATAGTGCATAAATGAATGTGTTCAATGCTAAGTTATGGACACAAATTTGCACAGCAAGCAATTGTGTGTTTCACCAGACGGGTGAACTTACCTCGCTTACGACTGAGTGTTTTAATCTATAAAGAGTCGTAATGCATCTGACTCACGTGATGACGCTCTTGTGAAACGTTTGTTTCAGAACTTGTCGGTGTGCCCCGAAGATGAGTCTGTCATCATGTCATCATTTGTCAGCACCATGACGTCACTCAATGTCAGACAAGGTATGGCCCTCGGTGCTGCCATGCATTTTGTATAAATGTCTCTTTTGCAACATCTTCATTTGGCTCACACATACACACCGGTGCACTGTGTCGCAGACTAAGGGCTACATTTTACAATCACGTATTTTACAGAAAAAAAAACTAGGGATTGAGTTCTGTTGAAATATTTCCCTGTGCAATTAAATTTTTACTCAAAATGTTTATAAAAGTGCAATGATATGAACCATTTCTCTTGGCAGTGGACCAGGGAGAGCCCTTTGATTTCAGAGGATTGAGGCTGGATTGGTTCAGACTTCAGGTGAGTTCAGGATGTGGCGGCACTCATCAGAAAGAGGAGCATCAGCCATCAAACCCATCATAAATTTTAGGTTATGTTATTAGTCTGTATTTTTACATATGCTAATTGGTAATCAGATGCAGAGATATTTTTTTAAATGATCGTACGCACTTAGTTTTGTATGCCATGCATGTAGCATTCACGCTTCGGCTGAAAAAGGCCTGCCTCTTTTAGAAGAGCCTTTAAGAGGCTCACAGCTGACCTGACAGTCGAGCCGCTTAGCTTCAACACTCCCTTCGCCCCCTGTGGACGAAGGCCATGAACAACTGCATGAGAGAGCGGATAGCTCTTGCACGCATGGAGACTCGAGGACACCTCACGGTGTGTGGATGTGGTGAACAACTTCACACGATGGGACATCGAATGAAAAGCTTTTTGCTCACACCCAAGAAACATCTCCGACGTTCTCTCCGCCACTCCCGAAGCTGTTGACCAGATTCCAGACTCCCACCCCCCTGCCCCCTCCTCCCTCCCTCCCTCCCATCATCAAACGACGACATGCCCAGAGAGGTCTTGACCCATCCTCATGCGCTGGACATGTGCATTGGAACAATCGGAGAGCGAGTGCCCGCACATTACTCTGCCACTGGCACCCTGCCACTTATCGTTATGTAAAGCAACAAAAAATGGCAAGACCTATGCACTAAATATGACTCTGACAGTCGCGCAAGTTAAATATAGAGAACACTGCACAGAGGGCAAGTAAATCGGTAAACTTTGTAACAGAAACGTTTTAATTTAGTGGCATTATTTGCGCATAGCATCCCATACTTTTTGAACCATTTTCAACTTATGCTGCCCTAAGTCAGGCAGTCTGATTGCAACGAGTGTCCAGAAAACAACTATGCACGTGCACACATTTGGCAGTGCCTGGCGTCATGCCCGTACACTTACAAGCCGGTGTAATGTTCATTTGAAATTAAATGCTGTCAGTGTAATTATTCGGACATTTTCAGCGCGAAGCCACTTACACATAACCACTTCTGATCACTCGCTTGTCGGACAAATTGTGTGGCTCGGGGAAAAACACACCCGCATTGCACGCACTGTAATAGTGAACACGGTTGCATTTGTTGACTTCCTGCGGTGCTCGTGCCGGAGCGTTCATGCTGCGAACTGTTGTCAAAAACAGCCATGAATTTAAATGGAAAAAACTGCATGCAGAGGGGCGCATAGTGTGTTCCCTGTTGTGTGATGTGCAGGGACTGTACGTTAGCTTAAGATGTAAACAAGGAAAACACTCCTTGTGCACAATAATGTCAACCTTTCAACCATTTGTCAATCTGCTGCTGGATGAAGCCCGCCCCTCCCCCTCCCATGCTGTGCAAGTTAAGGAGATTCATTGATGACAATCGTCAGTGAAGTGCCGGACCTGTTGAGAAATCACTCACCGTCGATTGTAGCTGTTGCAGGGATTTCTGTGGGAGATTCTCCATATCTGCGCTTACATTTTTTGTCACGTAGTACACCGTCATGCTTTTATTCTCTTTACCAGGCCTACACCAGCGTATCCAAGGCAAGTCTGCAGCTCAAGGACCATAAGGATCTTGGCAAGCTTATGAACACAATTGCCTTCCACACAAAGATGGTGGACTCACTCAATGACCTGATGGTGGAGACGTCAGACCTGTCCAATTTCTGGTAAGGGAGTGGGAGGGGGGGGGAAGTGGTGTATCAGAAGAAAGTTGGGAGCAGTGAAGTAGACACTTCAACAAAGGGGCTGAGTGTTTGGGTTGCGATGCAGCGTGGTCTGTAAGTGCAGGAAATACAAGGAGAATAATAACGGTTGCTGACGATTGAGCTAAATCTGGACAACATTGTTGCCCTGTTCTCATTTGCCTTCCTTTCAGCTTGGATATCTCAATCTTGTTGACCTCTGGTGCAGTTCTGTTTGTTTCTTTCTCAGGTATCAATGTTAGTGGTATCCTTCTTCAGATCAGTTTGGCAGTGTCAAATGAAGTTAAATGTAATGAAAGCAGATATGTAATTTACAGTAGGTATGTTTAAAAAAAACTATAAGCAAACAAACAAAACATATCTCAAATCACCATTTTCAAGTGAATCTGCTCGATCAAAAGTTAGGCTAACTGCTATATTTCTCCACAAATCTGGCTGCCACTTGATGATGCTAGTTGTAATTACTGGCGAAACGTTGTATTCAGATTGTAACGAATTCGCATGTTCTGTTTACGTGACAACCCTTACTAATTGGCTGTGCCGGGTGGTGGCGGGTTTAAGGACACATTTATATTGACGCAATCTAACCCCCCCCCCCAAAAAAAAAGACCTGTATTATGGATGCTATACAGTGTTAGACCCTTCATTTAAGTGGCTTCGTAGTTATTGTTTTACTCCAAAAGTAATTAAGGATACAGAGACTCCACAAAGAATTTCCGCTTATAAAATGCACATTAAAAAACATGTTGAAAACATTATTTTTTTTTGCAACAGCTCAAATTTTAAGGGTTCAGTCACTGGAAAATTGTCCCTCGCAATTCCAATAAATGTTTTAACACACATTACGCTGGTGAACTTGTCCCTGCAATCAAGCGAGCCTGAGGGGTATTGGTATCACGGCTGCCCGTTGGACAGTGGCAGGGTGGCATTTTTCCAATAATGCAACTGTGTTTTGTACCCAGCTCAGACCTCACAGTTTTGCACTCTCGTGTTTACATTCTGTGTAACTCCCAAGTTGGTGTTAATGAGCACCCATGGCAAGAGCATACGAAAGCTGATCCAGCCAGCTGTAACATACAAAAGAGCCGATTGGATTTGACAGTTAAATTGAGCAGCAGGCTAAGGTTGGGTGCTAATAATTTGAAAATTGCCTGTAGAAGGTAGAGCTATTTCCCCCAGCCCCCCCCCCCCCCCCTTGGCTCAAGCAGTAATGAAACAGAGCAGACCTTTGTTACAGTAAAGAAAACTTTATCCAGAGCAATGCCATAAATTAGTTGTGGCTGATTTGCCTGAGGTCTAACGTAACACTTTTTGGTAAGGGTTTGAATGACACGGCATTTAATCAGATCAAGTCGTCAAGCCCTGTACGGCCGGATAGGTTTTTTTGTTGTTGCACTGGGACAAATGTAACACAAACCAGTCATACGACATTTACCTATAAAGGCTATAATGCATACAGCTTCTATACATTAAACAGTCCCGCTCCACACTGTTTGGATTTTCAGAAAATATTAATGGGAAGAAACCTTGTATTTGATCCAATATCTTCTTGGTTCTTTCGGTAAAGTCACGTAGAAGGGAAGTAATAAAATAATAAAAATAAAACACAATAAAATAATTCTCACGACGTTTCGGCCACAACGCAAGCAGCCGTCCTCAGGTGAAAACCAGGTCCGTCGAGGCGACAGAGTCCTTGCATTGTGGCCGAAACGTCGTGAGAATTATTTTATTGTGTTTTATTTTTATTATTTTATTACTTCCCTTCTACGTGACTTTACCGAAAGAACCAAGAAGATGAATCCCTGCAGTCACGAAAGCTTTAAATCGAAATTTGATCCAATAGTTTAAATAATTGTGATCACCACCGTGGTTTTTGCCTAAACGTCATAATTGGGCCTATTGCGCAATTCTAATTACGACAGTTCAAATTCTCTCATAACTTGGTTGTATTTTTGTTAATGAAGAAATTGATAAATTCTGAAAAATGTGTCCCTATCAAAGTGTGACAAAGGATGGATACCTAAAGGGTTTGTGTATGGAGTTGCTGCGAAGGCAATCTAATACAATTTCTTCTTTCTAAAACCAGGGGTGCAGAAACAATTCCCCATTCTGAGTTTTTAAAACGGTCTAGAAAAAATGCTGCTTTGCCAGTTGTCATCAAAAAATTGTCTGAAATAACTTTTTAGTTTCTAATCCCCCAAAGCCTTTCTCTGTGGCCGATATGTAATGTAAAGTGGCTATCGACATAAGGAACTATAGTACGGATGGTCGTTCAGAGAACTGGAGTAGGTGTGAATGTTTTAATTGTGTGTGTGTGTGTCCCCGCATCCACGGTGGGGATTGTATAGGTTTGTGCTGGGACACAGTTGTACATGACTGCACCAGGTCGAATCGCCCTCTCAGACACATGTAGTAGGTAGGGGGGGGGTGCTCTACGTGTACTCTGCCTGTAAAGCGGTGAACAGTTAAGCAATACACTTCCAGAGTACAGCTGATGTTCAGACACACAGATTAACATTCTGGGAGGCCTTTTTTCGCACTTTTGAAAGTGTTTTACCTTTTTTATACTACGTCTTGGGTGTTTCGTTTTAAATGAAGTTATCAAAAGTATGCTTTTTAAAGGTGTTTGTTATATTTGTGCTAAAGTCACTCTTCTTGTGGATTGTGCTTTTGAGGGCTGGTGCCATACTAGTCTCATCGCCTGACAAGTCTAAATAAAATTTGCTTAATGACCAAACACGGCTTGATTGAAATCTAGACAAGTATGAGAATTATCTGGTATCATGTTACCGGCTGATCGTTTTCACTTATCTTTAGGTGCACGAGCCATTATTACATGTCTGGAGGATAACTTTAATCTTGATTTGAAGCTTTAAGTCTATCACTACCTTGTGCTGTCGTGATATGTTTCTAAAATAAATTTCTGCCACGTGTCAAGCTCAATGAACACTCCATATGAAGTCCAAATATGATCTCGGAGTTGGGCACACATTTACTTCAGGGGAAAAACATTCCAGGAAGTTATAAAATTAGCACTTTTTAAAATGTTGCTTTCAAGGGGTTACTTATTTCACATTTTCTCAGTCACAAATAAAAAGGATAAAAGCAAGAAAATGTGTTTTTCTCATAAGGCTTGGGAGCAGAAATGGGTGCAGTTGGGTTTGGTCACGTAGGAGTAGCCATTAAGACATGGCTACCAAAACAGAATTCATTGTACTTGAGTAAAAAAAAAAGACAACGAAAACAAAGGGCGGCCTTTAAATCTCTGAGTATATGTTTACGGAAAGTTTTGAGTCAAAAGAAATCCCACGAACTGCCGTTCACCGATGTTGAATGAAAATGGGAAAAAAATGAAAACAACAAACGCCCTTTAAATCTTTCAGAGAATGTGAACCGTAACATTTGAGAGAAGCCTAAAGAAATACCACGAATTTCCGCCGGTCGGTGCCGACCGGTGTAAAACGCAGGCGAACGATACCGGCTACGGATCTGGACTGATGCGCCTCGCGGGCCTCTGTCTCCCCGCCAGCTTTTACAACCGCCCCTTCGAGCGGATGTTCCAGCAGTGCCTGGAGATCCCATCCCAATCGCGTTTCTCCATCGCCTTCCCGTTGGCGTGCTCACACTTCATGAGCTGCACGCACGAGCTGTGCCCGGAGGAGGTAAGTGCGTCGTCGCTCAACATCACGCGCCGCCACCGATCACTCACTCGGCTCACGCAGGCATCTTGATACATCTTCATGAGAGATCCCACTGAGGGATGGTCATTCACTTTCGTTGAGATGGACTCGTATGACCTCCATAGGCTACTGTTGGATTTGTTTCTGTGGTAATAGCCGGCAAGGTGGCTCAGTGGTACGAGTGGCTGGCAATCGGAAAGTTGCGGCTTCAAATCCTAGTTGTGTGGTTGACTCAGCCCATCATCTCTCTGTGGTCCATGAAATGAGTACCACTTTGTGGGCAAGTCAGCTAGATGGATAGACTACAATGGGAATGTGGAATTTCCACCACTGGCTCGGGGCTAAAAATCAGAAGCAAAAATCATAAACATGAATGGAGAAATTATCAGTGTTGTTGATGGCATAGACGTGTTAACAACCAATGGTAATGAACTTCACCAAATTATTGAACATATTAATAGAAAAGGCAGCAAAGGAGGGCTCAAAATATATTTCATGAAATGATAGAATATATTTCTTGGGGGGGGACACAATCGAAAAAACCACCAGAAAGTATCTTCCTAGGGCAGTTGATGCAGGTGAGAAGAGGTTCAAGTGCTTTAGGAAAACGTAACTTAATAATAGAAAGCAGCATGCTAACCTGCCGAAATAATAATAATGTGTTCATCAGTGTAATTGATCTGATGTGACATGGAACTGAAACTTGGATATTCACAAAGAAAAGTGAACAAAAGTTTAAATGTGTGCAAAGAAGCACAGACAGGTGCATTCTTGAAATTACACGGAGGGAAAGGAAGGAGGAACACATGGACGAAAGAACATGCGCCAGTCAAAGAAAAAGTTATTGATTAAAGCGACATGTCCTGCTTAGGCAGGCATTCATGAATTCCGATAAAAAAAAATTTTAATGGCCATCACTTTTTTTGTGGATTGGAGAATAAAATATCTACATGACTTGAGCCCAAAGTGTCTCAAACAAGTAATGGAGTGCCACTCATCTCTGTTGCAATGCTCTGTTAAATGTCAGGGGTGGAAATGATACATTCCTAGTGTAGGAGCCAGTCTCCATAACTTTCCATGAAGTGGTATTGTTTGTATCCACCTGGAGAGATGATAGGCAAAGTCATTTCCTGATTAGGATATTAACAACAAAAACTGTAATTGGCTTTGTGTTTATATTTGTAATGTGTTTTATGTTTTGCAATTTGAATGATGCAGCGACATCACATCGGAGACCGCAGCCTCTCCATCTGCAATGTGTTCCTGGAAGAGATGGCCAAGCAGGCAAGGAACCTCATCACGGACATCTGTGCTGAGCAGTGCGCCCTGAGCAACCAGGTCAGACATTTGTTACAATTCATCGACTAGTCTAAGCACCCGATAAGGCCCTCGAAGACTGCACTCGGAAACATTAGCGTTCACATTTCAAATGAGAATGGGGCCCTGCTCTCACCTTTGTTAGCAGCCCACATTCCTAAATACTTGCCAGAATGGACAGTGTTTAAAAAGTGGTGAGATAATCAATAGAACGTATATGGTGTGGGGGTGTTTTGAAGTGAGTTACATGGCACCTAACTGGAATCGTTTTGATAATTGGTTTTTTACCCTTCTATCTGGCAACAAAACTGACACCTTTTTACAAACAAAAAACAACTCTGATAATGTGCACTGTCCTTGCAGTTGATTGGTCCACACCCGAGACAGCTTTCCTTAGAGCCTAGTCTCACATGGTGTTGGACCAGATGAGGTTCCAATTGTGGAATCGTTTTGTTATAGTGGCGGATGCAGATGGGAACAGGGAAAGGGAATGGGAGGATGCATCTCTAACATGGGGGGTGGGGGCAGTGTCATTGAGCATACATTCTTGTGCATTGTATGTCTAACCCACCCTGGAGCAAGGCCCCCAGCTGCACTGCTTCTCAAGAATTACTGAGTGCTGGCCATGCGTTTTTGGCAATCGACAGACCAAGGCCTTGTAAGACAGCCCAGCCTATCGAGGCCCAATTAAACAGCTTGTCACAGCAAGCTGTCGCTTATGGGTACCCCCACGAAAAGTTCAGAAGGGGTTAGGAAGCTGGCTCACAGCACAGCCAAAGGCAATGGATGAAGCCCAGAAATATGGTCATGGATCAGGAGAGAAAATTGACCACAACTGATTGTCAATAGGCGTATTAGGAGTTTATTGTAGTGCGTTAAATGAAAATTCTTTCAGTTGAGATTCAAACAAAATTATTACATGTAGTAAGTTGGCTTTATAGACAACAAAGCAAGCCAGTATTTTACAAGCATTTGATTTAAACTATTGCTTGGCAAAATGTAATATTTCAGGGCAATTGAATTGTAGACATGTCAATACTGTGTCCAAAAACCGAACTTATGGGAAAGGTTTCACCACACCAAGACCAAGAGAAACGTAAGAGTTATTTCACATCCAGTCATTCTTTTTGTTGGCTTGTAACTTTTTTGTTTTGAGTAACATTGTAGACATGTCAATACTGTGTCCAAAAACCGAACTTATGGGAAAGGTTTCACCACACCAAGAGAAAAACGTAAGAGTTATTTCACATCCAGTCATTCTTTTTTGTTGGCTTGTAACTTTTTTGATTTGAGTAACATTGTTTGAATTTATAAAAAAAAAACATGAATTGAAATGCACTCTTATAAAACAGCAGTGCTATAAATACACTGTGTGGTTACACGCTCGGAGCCACCTCACTGTTCACGTTACGCCGATGATTTCTTGCAAGGCAAAGCACCACACGCGTGTCCTATCTCCGCATCTCTCTCCACTCACTTGGGCCTGCGGTATGCTGGATGCTGTGAGTTTTGCGTACCCTAACCCTTGGAAGAGAAATCATTTAAATCCGCGTATAAATAGCACAGACGCTGCTACGAACGATCTCGGGCAAATAATTTGAGAAATGTTCATTTTGCACACCCCAATTACTTTATTTAATTGCCTTAATAGCAGGTACGTTTTAAAAATTACTTTACGGGAAACATTCTGTTATTTTTGCTGAAGCACAGCATCTTAAAAAAATATATATTTCAGGAACCAATTTTCATTTTTTGGTATTTCCTGACTGCTCCACTGTTATTCTGTATAGACGAGCTTCAGTATCTGTCCAACGAAATGCCAGTGACCGTGAATGTGGTCTGATGGGAACATGGAATAAATTTGTAATTATAATGCCTATGTTGGTCTCAAAAGTATGTTATTTTCTCTTCCAGATATATGAATTTAGCAAGTTGACATTTCAATGCATTTGGGAAACATTTTTGAGCACTTGCGATTTTAAAGGTTGTGAACATTATTTACCTGGTGTCGATTGCTGTCGTTAACATCCAAATATCACTCCCCGAAACTGACGGCCATTGCTCTCGTCAGGTTCGCGAGATTACTTAAAGCAGATTTCAAGTGCGAGTTGGATTCAGTGACTGAATCCCACATATTCCACTGGGGTTTTTGTTTCTGGCAGTGGTTTTTTGCCGACATTCCTTGACCATGCACGCTTGTGAATATCTTCAATCAACCCCTTGATGAACTGGCTTTCCTTGTTCTCATTTGTTCCCCGTTTCTTCTGTCCACTGGTCCGTCAGCTGCTGCCAAAGCATTCGGCCAAGACCATTAGCCAGGCTGTGACCAAGAAAGCCAAGAAGCAGGCGGCCAAGAAGAACGAGCCGGAGAAGGAGAAGCCAGGGGTGGAAAGCATGCGCAAGGACCGCCTCATCATCACCAGGTGAGAGTGCCCACCTAATGCCCTCACTGCCCTCTCGATGTCCGGTCGTCCCACTCTTCACAGAACCTGGGTCCCCACTCTCAACCATTGTGGTGATAGCCTCGGTGGATGTTGGACTGTTTGAGACCACTTGCAGCAGTCAAGATTAAATGAAATAAAAAGCAATGTTTTTGATGGGTTCAGTTAATATCCGACCTTCAGGTTGTCAGATGAGAACTCTGACCAGAGCACCACCCAGCTGGAGACTCCATCATTCGCCGCAATGAAAGTAGCCCCGACGTTGGGTACTCGCAAAAGATGTCCATTCATTATCAGCTTTCTGTTTAATTATGAGATAAAAAAAAACCTATATTTAATCAGCCCTTTGTGATTTCATATGCATTCAACACAGCTTCATTATTATTATGGCATGATGTACTTTTACACACTAAATTTTGAGTATGCTGAGAGGTTGCACTAATTTGCATTTGCGGCATTCCCCCACTCTTTATGACCATTTTACAAATTACTTTTTGTTGTCACGTGACCGCAGCATGGACAAGCTGCACACAGCCTTGGCTGAACTGTGCGTCGCCATCAACTACGTGCCGACCTTTCAGATATGGGAGCACACCTTCACGCCCAAGGAGTACCTCACCAGCCACTTGGAAGCCCGCTTCACCAAGTAAGGACAAGGCCTGCCTCCACACCCGTCAAATTGCGGCCTATGTGGCCTGTGCACTCAACGGTTTGTTTGTCCACTGCCTCGTGCTTCACGATGAACGAGCTTAAACGCTTTGTGCTCATTAACTTAGCTCACTAGGGGCACGTCCATGGTGTTTCTTTAAGACGTAGATGCCACCGGTGGAGGAGAAATAGAGCAGTAGACCACACATTTCAAGCATGCCCTTTGCTGCGGTGTCTCAATTCAAATGCGGCAGAAATATAAAATGTGTCTTTCCTTACACTTATCTTCACCTGTGTGCCCACAATTATTTTATTGGCAAAAAATAAATATCTAAAGTCCTCAACAACAAGGAAAAAAACCTCCCGAAAGCGCTTGAAGGATCTGCAATTGTCAGAGGTAGCTCTGTGATATCCAGTTCCATTGGCCATTCTCTAACACGAGAAGTTGCACTGTTTTGCGAGAGATCTGAATGGATTGATTTGTCTCATCACATGATTTCAATAGCACAATTGCAATAAAATTGGGGGAATTTTTAAAAAAATGAATTGTAATAAAAGTATTAAATTGTAGTATTGTGGTAAGTTGGGCTGGTATTGGTGACACATGCAGCTTATGTTGTGATTGTGCAGGACTGGGGAAGGCTACTTGTGTTATTGAGGCGAGACTCACAACCTGTAGGACTCTCAGGTGGTCAGTATGTATCTAAGTAATCTCATTGTATATAACTTTTATACATATTGGTCCCCCAATGTAATTCAAATGTTCTATTGACATTATGCCGTGAGATGAAGAATCGATTTGGAAATCTCGGAGTTTTTGTGTGTGCAGTCATTGGTGACTGGGCTAAGAACATCAACTCACTGCACTTGAGAACCTGATTCAATCACAGGCCGCTGCCTGGATTCAAACCCATGCTCTCAATGGTGCTGGCTCAACGCTCTGACCTCTGAGCCACTTCGCTACTTCCTATTGTCCGTTTTCGAGTTTTATTTCGTCACGTGCATTATTTTTTTTCTGAATGCATTGGTATCATCTTGTGTATCAGAATACTCAATAAGGTATTCGCCAAACACTCCATGATTGACCCTTCTTACACATTTTTGAGACTCGGTAAGGCTTTCCTAGATCGAGGACAAACATTGTGATTGTTTTTTTTTGTATTATTGCAGGTCCATTGTGGGAATGACCATGTACAACCAGACGACACAGGACATTAACAAGCCCTCAGAGCTCCTGAACAGTGTCAAGGCCTACATGTCTGTGCTGCAGGGGCTAGAGGACTTTGTTCACATTGATATCACTCGGGTCTTCAACAATGTGCTCCTGCAGCAGACTCAGCCTATGGACAGCCACGGAGAGCCCACCATCACCTCTCTCTATAGCAACTGGTAGGTGCATAGGATTCTGCACATGCCCGCGAGAGAGGCTTTCTGCGGTTGGCCAATGGGTGCAGCTTTTTTAAAAGTGAATATAGTTTGAAAGCAAAAAAAACCGTACAGTTACATTGACTGTGTTTCCATGAGGAAATGGGAGAAACTACTCAACTAACTCAAATTAAAATTGCTCTATGTTTAGTTGGAAAAGCTGCGCAATTGGGAGTTGTTATGATTCGCTGTAAATCATCGCGCGTTACTTGCTTCTACCTCATTTGCTTTGCCCTAAATTCGATTATTACAATTATTATAAAGGATGTTCATGTTCATCCTCGTCATGAGGTAGGTATGTTTATTTTAAAGGGACTACCTTTCTTATGTGTTGCATCCATTTTATAAACAATATTGTGAATATCTTATTTATGTATGCTTGCACACTCGTACTTCGCGCCTACAGTTAGGAGGCATCACAATGGCCTATAGTTTTTACTCCAAAGATGCCATGTGCACCAACATTTTGTTTTGAACATAGTGAGATGGCAAAAAAGTATATATATGCAAGTGTATGTATCCATTCCAATGACTATTTTAGTTTTCACCATGTGCAGTGTTTATTTTTCCAACATTACAATTATTTTAGCTTAATTAAGTAGATTCCATGCTAGATATGGGCGAGTTTGGATATGGCACGTGGTCACCTGACCCATCTTCCTTTCCAGCTAATAAAACAAGTACCACTTCATGGAAAGCCAACTGTGGCCACGTGATGGTTAGATTGTCCCCCACCATGGGAATGTGGAATTTCCTCTGCTGTCTAAGGGGCACAAGAAGAGACAACAGCTACTCATTTGAGAACGGAGACACTTCGACTTTAATCTTTTTTTTCGCTGAAGATTTTTCGGAGGAAAAAAAAAACCACATGAAACATCCTAGACTGTAAATATCCCTTCTCCGCCCTGTCTTGGACATGTCTCACAGGTACCTGGAGGCCCTGCTGAGGCAGGCCAGCAACGGTCTCATCGCATTCTCGCCTTCAATGAAGTCGTTCATCAACCTGCCCTCTGAGAACCACGACCTTCCCTTCAATGCAGAAGAGTATACTGACATCACAGGTGAGCAGCTCCACAGTAGCGCCAGACACTGAGTGAAATCACATGACGCGTTGTTTGCGTGTAGAAAAATAACGTTTGAGAACAATATTTTTCAAATGTATTGTGCGCTGCTTCCAGCTGACATATGTTCCGTCTGTGCCAATTGAACATTGAAAGGTTCATAGGCACCCGCTGTATGAGCATTCAACAGATCCAATGTGCAATGCATTAACCATTGCACCAATGCTCGACTGAAGAAAGGGTATTAATACAAGTATAATGGCAATGAAGCCACGATTGGAGAATTGTTTTATAATTTCAGTTTTGAAAGCTTGCCAAGTGGTAATTGTGTAAAGTCGGAGAATGTTGCGTTGGCATTCACTGTACACTTACTCCAATGTAGCCAAAAGCAGCTGCATGACATACAGATCAACCGTTATGTGTTTCCATGTGGATAGTTAGGATTTAATTTGATCACAGGGCGAGCCAATGTACAAAAAACATGCCAGCAGGGCATGTGTATGAAATAGAGAGGACTTTAAAAAAAAAGAAAATGTCAGAGATTTTAACATGACATCCAACTGTATCAGCAACTGAGAACTTTGTACAATATTAACGGTATTCATCTCAGAAATGTCATGCATATATTTTTTCCTTGTCGTATTTGTTTTCTTATTTTTGTCATAATTTCTGTGTGAAAAAAACAGTAAACTAGAGTTAAATTCCTTTTATTTGCAAAAGGTGTGGATTGCAGGGGAAGAACTGGAAACTTTAAATTAAAGGCATATGGGAATGCTGGTTATTGTTACCGAGTTCCATATTGAGTTATTTAATGCATCACCAATACCATGCATGGAATTATACATTGTCAATAGTGTCCCCACATGCCCCAGCCATCACTAATTCATTCATTCTTTGTTGTAGTATCCTTGAACGCCTCTCATGAATAGCTTTGGAGTACAGATGTAAATGTATGTATGTTGAACGTCTCTCGCACCGTACGCAGGCAACCATACTAACCCGAGGTGTGGAATCGTCCAGTTCTGTGCTTTTTTCGTGTATTTGTATAATGGTATATAAATGTGCAAGGTGTACACAAAGGCATCATCCATTTTTAAACATGCATAATTAGGCAGCAGTTTGTACTGCATGCTCGAATTCTTGCGATTATGTGAATAATAACGTGTTTTGAAAAAAAAATAACGTAAGTGATCTTCAACAACACGTAACAAATAATGATAAACAATCCCATTGGTGAACACCTTAGACAGCCTCATATCACAATATGAGGTGCAATTTTCAACGCTGAGGCAGACATAAGAAAGGTTTAAATGTATATCATAACAGCATCATGCCAAGTGTGTGCATGTGCAGTTATATTGACCCAGCTCAAACTTCTGTCAAATTAATAATTGATTAATAATGGATGATATCTCATTGGACACCCTGTAGCTTGTGTAAGTGTACATTTTCCGTGAGGATTTGTATAATTCTTTTGCTTCAAAACATAGCTTCGTTACAACCACCTGCTGATACAGATTCCAAGAATGAATGATGTTTTACCAAAGGCAATTTAGCATGCATTGGTTTGCAGCGAAGGTTTGTTTATGTAGGACCGGGAGAGGTCTGTAGTCCCTGTGGGGCGTAATGTACACAGGTTTCACATCTCACACGCACGTGTGGATGGTAAGCGATGGCGTGTTGGCAGCTGTACGGAAGTGGTCATCCATAATTGTGCTGTGTATATATATATTTTAACAGTTTTTACAGAGGCGGTACTTACACGCGATAATGTATCTTGTAGCCACGAATCTAAACTTTACATGAAATAATGACAAACCTTACATTGCACAGTTTCAGCGGTCAGTGGATGAAATGGCTTAGTGAAGCAAAATGATGACGATGGTTATTCAAGTTGCATTCCACCGAGTGCATTTCCATTCGCAGGATTGTCTCCCTTTTTCACTCAGGGTGAGCAGAAAGGATTCTTAAAATGATTGCTCTTGAACATGTTGTTCAGGCATTGAATTATAAAAAAAAAAATACTTTACCCTTTCTGGTATAAAAAACAGGAGGTGTTAAGATGCTCAACCACCACGTAGACACCTATTGCAAGGCATCAGGTCTGCATGAACCACACTTGTGGTAAAACATGGAAACATATATGCTTTTAGAATGTATGCACTGCCCTTAAAACTGATTGGCCTATCCATTAAATATGCCGACAAAGTAAACGTGGTCAAGCCAATGTGTTGCATTTGGCTTTTGTTCGGCAGAAATGTTCGTGAAGCTAATTTTTCATTGTGCGTAATTATTTTTAAATAGTTCAACAGGCAGACCTCGTAGAATGTGTGGGGGTTACGTTCCTGGGAAATGCCGTGTTGGGCAAAACCTTGTTCGACAAATAATAGAGCTTGTGGGAAAAATAGGGTTGTGTGTTCCTGGGTCCGAAACTATCACCCCCCTCCTTTGCTTGATTAATTCTACGTGATTTCCGTACTTCTTATTGCGCTAAAGGATGCTGAGTGCGTACACTTTATTTTTCAATTCCACCTCAACACAAAACCCCTGTCTCTATTCCTCTTTCCGCACCGTGGCACTCTCACGCCCGACGCACGCCCCTGACACCGTCACTTGAACGTGTTGATGATAATTCACCATCGAGGTGCCCGTCTGACTGACGTCCTCTACCAGTGGATGGCTACATGCATGCGGCAATGTATGAACATTTGCGTTGTGCAAATGTATCCAGTGTGTTACATTATGAGACCAAAAACATACATGGTAAATACATCGTTCTCATCACACCTTACAATGGATGCAGCACTCGGCGCACTACTTTGCGATGCAAAGATAAGAATCTATTTTTTGCAGAGCGTTGGCCGTTACCTCCAAGTCTGCCTGGGTTTTCTCCAGTAAATCTGGTGTCCTCTCACATGCCAAACACTCATTCATGGATTTGGCCAAACATCCTTTAGGGACCTCCTGACTCTCAGTGATCTTTTCCTGGGAAATAAATGGAATTTATGTTATCATTATTAAAAATTTAAAACGAATAATAAGTTGTCTTGGGGAGGACTCTTCACTAGAAAGGATGATGGCCCATGAACACGAGATGCGAATTGGGGCATCACATGACCATGAGAGATGGCGACGACACAGCGAGGCCTTCATATAGCAGTGGACATGCAAGTCCGATGATGATGATGGTGATGAATTGTGGCCACGGTGAGACCGTTTTGGAAAACATCAACACATTCCCTTTGAGCATTTCCTGTGGCTTTGTGTATTCTAATGTAGAGAGGTGCACGTGTATGCTTCTGTACACAGAGATGCGTGCCTTGGCTGACCTGATGGGACCCTATGGCATCAAGTTCCTGAATGAGAACCTGATGTGGCACATCTCTTCCCAGGTCACTGAACTCAAGGTGGGTACTTACAATGGACGTGTGTCAGCTCGCATTGCTTAAACACTCCCAGGTAAATCCAACGCTGAGCTGTCACCATTATCACTCACCGTGTCGGTGTAACATTCTATTTCATTTAACGGGTTTTATGTTTTCAAATTTATTTAGAATCTCTACTCTATCAATCGTGTGCCATTTTTCGTGTTGAATTTTGCATGTTGAATGTGAAAGAGCTTTTCTTCCATCACGTGCACACACATTGTATTAGAGCATGTTAACACTGCACAGGTGGTGCTCCTTTGTGTCCTAGAAAATGATATTGACTGCATGTGAATGCAGCAGTGTGTTTATATTTTAATTTCTTGAAGCTCAGACGTGGCCACATTTTGGTGATCATGCTTTCAGACTATTAACTCGCTACACTGGAGAACGTGAACCTATGAGCCTAGTGGTACAGTCTCAATTCAGTACTGTTACACAAGCCTCTGGGTCGTATCCTGTAAAATTCACTTTTTTTATTGTTATTTATTTTATGTCACCCGATGTGTATGGCATTTTATTTTGGCGCACCGATGATGCTAATACTACGACGACTTCAATCAATAAAAACAATTTGCCTTTTAAACGCTTGAGGCTTTTAAACGCTTTGAGGCTTCTTAAAAACTTCATGGGGAATTCTACTTATAACTTTGTTTTGACATGGTCATGCCCAGTGCTTGTTTTCAGGTCAAGTGCTGTGTGAAATAACTGGCTCAGCGGGACTGCAGTTACAGCGTTAGCAGCGAGCTTTCAGCACCTCTTGAGAAATGCGGTGTTTTCCAGAAAAATGAAACGAGTTCTGCAGAGAATCGTGAAACACTGCCGAGGTCTCCTGATAGCCCTGCTCCACTGGTGTTCAGGCTTCTGAGAAAACTCTCCCAACACTCTACATATGTTAATATGACAAGCAATGCGTGTGGTTTTGATTAGATCGGGTTATATTATGACTTTTTAAATTGATATATATAAAAGGTGATAATATTTAATTAATTACATTTACAATCTTATATTAATAGGTTTTTGCCCTTTTATCTGGCAACTACATACATTATCAGAGTTGTCTTTTTGTTTGCATTTTGACTGCAAGTGTTGTGGTTAATGCAAACATGATCCCTTGTATAAAGGTGTCAGTTTTGTTGTCAGATAAGATGGTAAAAACCTGTTACTATATCTTGCTACTGGCAAAGGAGGTCTCATAATTTACAATCTTAGTTTTACACTTTAATTTTTTGTACATTGTATTTTTATTCGAGCGATTTTGTGCCACGTATCTTCTCCCCATATCTCTCCTTGGCAAAGTCTGTATTAAAATGGGCTCCCTGGCTTAAGCAATGATTAACTCTAGTGGACTTCACATTACTGTGAACGTCATCACCTTAATATTTTACATCTTGTCAGGCTTAGCGATGTGCATGTCCTTAAAACACAATTTCACAAGTACACGTAGCTCTCTAGAGTTTTTATATTCATAACATTTTGTCCTTATAATGTTTGGTCACGCTGTCCTTACGCCCTGGTACGAAGTATTCCTGCACAGGTTCACATTTACCCGAACAAGTTAAGTGATGATGGGGTCTTTTGTTGTCGTCACATTTTCCTTCTTGCGTGATTAATTACTTACTCGTCGTCGTTGTCAAATTGCTCACTCTGTGCAGGGTAACATTCACTTTGACGTCACACCATGCACCCTGGTGTTTGGGGAAATATCACACAAAGGGAGCATGGAGGGTTCTTAAACATTCACTTACCAAAGTAGTAGTGCGACACCACCCAGTAGACGGTTGTGAGGCAGACTGCTGCTGCTGTTGTCACACCACAAATAACAAAGAAAAAGTCCCAACACATTCATCCAAAAACAGATGTGGCCCTAAAAGGAAGAAAACATATCACAAGGCGACGTTTCAAACAATGGTCCTTCTTCATAGCACCTGTATACAACATCACGTAGCCGTGTACAACATATCATTACAAACAATATGATATCATCATCTCAGTGAGTACCTTAAAGGGATTGACTTGTTCATTCATATTTGTGCAACAACCAGATATATCTTATGGAGGGACACAACTGGAAAACACAGCAGAATATGAGTAACCGAGCGATAATGTTGGTCCATGCGAAGGATCTGGGTGGATTGTTGCATCGGCTGACTGAGGGATGGCGACAGCTTTCGAAGACCATCATCCAGCAGTGGATTGATCATGGCTGATGATGATATTTGCTGCGTTAGTCGTACAGTTTAAAGTCCATGTGGGGGTCGACTTAGTCCAGCATTCATCTGAAATCAACAAAATGAGCATAACTGTTGGAAAATAATAGTATTTGTCCAATAAAGAAACTGGCCTTCCACAGAAATATGGAATTTTCACCATTGGCTCAGGTCAGGCAATGAATATGAGTGCCACCCAACACTCGCATAATGAGCGAGACACTCGGCTTTAGCAGTAATCAATATTGTGCTGTGATTGTATTCCTTTTGGAGAGAGACAGCATCTTAAAATTCAAGGAAAAGTCGGAACATCTCCAGAGAATTAAACTTGTTTTTATAAAATATATTTTTTTATTCATATTTGTTCACGTAACATTGACTCGCATCGAAGGCGTTTTTTTTATCAGACTTGGCAACCCTCCTTGGCTGTGCCACATTGTGTCTAGATGCCTTGACCATATCCAGTGCAAATTATCCAAGGTTGTTTACGTTACAGAAGGTCCCAAACTAACAAAAACAACCTCTATGAATTGCTCCCACTCTTTAGTTTATCATTAGTTCCCATTGCATATAAACACAGTGTAATAAATTGCTAAGCTGGTTTTTTTTGTCCATGCACAGCCTAAACAATGCTCAGCGGTGCTTTTAAAACTTAAACATTGCTCGGCAGTAACCTTTAGCCCGAATACAAAGATCGGAGATGCATCATGGTGGCGTTGGCTTCAAATGTTTACACTTTAGCAGAGGGCTTGACTCGCAATCAGGGGTCGACCTTAGAGCTCAGTATCCCTCAAGGTCGATAAAATAAGCACCTTGTTTTTGGAAGTAAATAGCAGTCGTCGTTTAGACTCCCATCACAGCAATGTGGTAATTTTATACCACCAACTCTGGCCACCAGTGGAGATTACTACTGCCTGATACCTAATTGAGCAGGGAGAGAGTTGAGTTCTTATTCTCATCGCACATCTGCAGGGGCAGTAATGTGTGTGAATGCGGTATGGGCGTATGGCAGAAAAGCATCAGAGCCAGACTAGCGCATGACAGCTGTAGACATTTTTAGGGTTTCAATCGCAGTCAATTGGACCCTGAAAGAAAAACTGTAAAAAAAAATGTAATATCGTATGACACAAAAAGCAATCTCAGAAAGGTACAGCGTGTGCTGCGGTGCCAACATTAACGAAGTGCGTTCATTGTTTAAAGGTTACAGGATAGCATTTCAAATGTGTTATACCACAAAGCTGAGGCTGCCACTCTGCTTAACCTACCATAATGTGAGAACACCTTAGGAAATGACAATGCCACGGCCTCGCCGCACGCACACAACGGATGGCATTTGAGCACAAAGCAGAGTTGCCGCTCCACCAAAGTCTCATCATCCATCTCGGGTGACCCGTGCTCGGCTTTGGACGCACTGCGTCACGTTTTGACCTAAGGACTTCAGATGCGGGCCCAGCCGCGCTTGCCCAATAGCAGCAGCAGCAGCAGCCGCAGTGCCGTGTGGAGAGCCCCGCGCGTTGGCAAAAGCTGCTGCCTGTACACACGCCGATCGGTTCCCGTAAGCGCCAAGCGAATTTGGGTGTGGACCAAAATGCGTCGTGTGAAGCGGGCAATAGATAGATCCTGAACCTGTTGGTGGGGGGTTTTTTCCCCACATGTCAACGGTGGTGTGAGCTCTTAATGCACACCACGGGAAAGTGGTTGTTGATTTGCTTTTTTTGCGACTAATAAACTGCTGCTGGTACCAGCGCAGGTGTAAATGTAAAATGTTCTCGTTACGCAAACGGTTTGTAAGAACGTCTTGCTATTTACATTTTAGTGATGACTTTGTTTTTTATATTTAGGATTGAGAGTGCACCAATGTAATTATAAATAATGTTTGAAGTGGATCTCATCTTGGCTTCAGAGGTGTCTCTAACATTTATTTGAATAAGTAAGTTGCTTAAAACCTCACACTTTCATGCATCCCTTCCTCATTTATATAAATAAAGACCTTAATCTGTATGTATCTCTCAAAAACCTCTCGGGTACTTCCCGACAAGGTAGAAAGCTGAAATTTGGTACATAGGTAGCTTTTATGACAGAAACAACAACAAAAAATCAGAAAATCGAGATTTTTCATTTGAAGGCCCCCAAATCTCGATTTGAGTGCCCCATAAACATGTTTGTGCGTGTCATTCAGAAACCGTTCAAAATATAACACTGCAGTTTTTTCAACTGATAGAGCGTTAAACGGCAAATTACATTAAAGTGAGAACTAATGTTCTATATTTTATTGTTTTTGAGATATTTCTGATTAAACCGGTTTTGAACTAAGCAAATCCACATTTTTTTAATGTTTAAATCTAAATAATTCGAAAACGGTAAAAAAATTGGAGCTTCCGCTGATAGAGTATTAAGTTCATTCATTTTTGTTTTTTCTAATAAATAGATAAAAATGTAATCTTTAAATTGAGCAGTTTCCGATGGGTACGTCTTAAAATCTAATAAGTTGAATCAATTCGTCAATACATTTTTTGCGAAAAAATGCACATTTTTGGAGTAGTTATTCGTGTCTGATCGTAGATAAAAGTTGTAACAAATCATATTAGCTTAATTATATTTATTGAAAACTTTTGCCTGGGAAGACATTTAATTAACTCGTATTATATATTGGGAAACTCCACTCTGTGAATATTGAAGCGTGAAGCCTGCATGAACTCGCCTTTGTATTGTGTCATTAATATACTTGTTTATCCTAACACTATGTATGTATCATTAAACTGGATTTTATACTGAATAGCAACATACCCCGGTGTGCCTAAAGACAAACTTTTCAATAATTGTCTCTTACCAGCTTTGTCATCAATCGAAAACGATGTGATAATATAATATTTTTTTCCAGGATAGCCACACTCAATCATAGGATTCATTTTCAGGAGGGTCCTGCGTTGGGTTTTTATGTTAAGATGTTGTCAGCCAATGAATGAGTGTTTATACAAGTGGAAGGAAACCGGAGCACCTGGAGATAATCCTCAACACTTACCCCTTACAGATGGAAACAGGTGGTGATTATTCCATTTGCTGTACTGCCTTCCCCTGGCGAGCCAGGGTATGGCACCTTGATGCCACCAAGGAGGGAGTTTAGCAAAATTTGTGCAATCCACCAACCGATGCTGGATTACAGGCATGCGCCACCATTGCCCGGCAAAGAAGTAAAGATGTATGGACAGATGCATGCTGGGAATTATAGTGAGGCAGAAAGAAAGACTGGTGAATCGGAGAACAGAGTCGATAGAACTAATGTCAAGTTCGTGGGCTTGGACAGAACACATATTACTAGAAGGAATGTGGGCCAATTGAAGAGATGTGGTGATTGAATGGCAACTAAAGGAGGCAGTTTGCTCGAGACAATGACCACCTGTCCATTGGAGCATTGAGATAGATCAGCTTTTGTGCAGGAGCGAGATGGAGTGTGACATAGAGGGTTAATAAAGAACAGTGGAATTATGAGGAGCCCTTTATCCAGCAGTGGATAGATCATGGCTGGTGGCGAGATGTTAACTACCTTGCTAGTTATACAGGAGTGCGTGGGTTTGATCCTGACCCTGATGCTTGCTCTATATTTGGAGTTTGCATGTTCCCCCTGTGGTCGTGTCGATTTTTCTCTGGATCCTACATTTCTTCCCTCCACATTCAGAATATTTGGTTGCTATACATTTACACACGATAGGGTACTTCGTTGAGCTTATTATTTGTGGCCAGGTCGCTTCTGAAAAAGAGCTGTATTTGCCAGTGGGCCTTACGTGGTAAAATACATTAAAAAGTGTAGTTCGATGTTGATTCATATATCTCAAGGGCTTGCTGGCAATTGGAGAGTTGCAGTGTGGTCATAAGCTAGATATAAAAGTGTAAAGAGAAACAAATGAACTGCTCATTTTTATTCCAAAGCCATGATTATTCTACTTTCTGGATGGTGTGTGTGCGTGTGCGATACGCAGAAACTTGTGACGGAGAACATGGAAGTGCTCTCTCAGATGCGGACGAGCTTCGACAAGCCCGAGCAGATGGCATTGCTTTTCCGTCGGCTGACTTGTAAGTGTGACACCCCATCGCAGGGTTTCAGCGACTTGCCATCGTGAGGCCATTCACTGTGTTGGTGTGTACAATGCACATGCTCTTTCCCAGGAGCTTAGCTATTTCCATTTGCTGTCAGAAACCCAGCTTGTCAGACAGTGAAATGGAGGATGGGGTTAAGAACCATGGGCCTTTAATTTAGGACGAAAATCGACTGTGGAACCTTAATATCCAGATTAGCAACTGGAGCAAATGTTACCATCTAAAAAAAGTTAATATAGCAGCCAAGCTTTTAATGTTACAAATTGTCTAATTTAAACAAATTGCCAAAATCAGCTTTGCAGATCATGGTACTTTTTATCCGGATAATATTAAATATAAATTGTTTTCTCAAATGTATTTGTTCTTCCATAACCTGCTGTTAATGTTTCCATTTATGGATCCTGTTTACTTGTTTAAAAAATAGTAATTGTAACAAGTTGAAACGTGCATTCTACAGTGAATTTTGCACGTCATTATTAACATCTTTTTATGTTTGCGTATTAAAACATTTAAGCATCAACTAAAACAGACATTGCGGCTTGTATACGATCACTGGTTTATGTCACGTTACAACAGATCAAAGGAAATGTTCTGGATTTTTTCCATTTTGCTTTGTCCACGATTGGTACACAACTAAAGGAATCTGCCTGAGTTATATGTAAGTAAGATCTAGTGATTTTTCTTGCGTGGAAGAAAGATCTCCTGCCTTTCGTGTGCAAACAGCTTGGTGCCATGTTTATATTGGGTTTGAAAAATTTTGCTCTTGGAGTTCATGAACAATAGCTCTGGCATATGCTCAGATCTTAGATAATGTTGCCAATTTGCAGATAGCATTTTATATTTAAAGAACATCACATGACAGTAGTTGATGCACATGAGGGCCAATTGATCTTTTCGGGAAGAACATTTAGTTTTTTGCGTAGCTCTTTTTTTAATCGAAAGTGTTGCTGAACAGATTACCTTCCAACTCGCCATTACTGCTTTCTGAAATAACCTTTTTTGGGGATTTAACCTGAGCAGAGTCAGCCTATTGGCATACTTCCAACATTTTCAACATTCTGGCTATCATCACACCGTTTAAGCGATGGTAACTCCGTCGTCCGCATTTCTCGTTCTGCAATAGTTATAGACTGTAGTGGGGGATCAAAAACACCCCACTGCTTTCACATCTTGGTGAGTAAGGGTTCGCCATCTTGCATTCCTGTGTGAGGAGGTTAAGGAGTTTACAACTGACCTCTGAGTAACTGGAGTGCAGAAATTGAAAAAGATTGGAAGCCATTTTAAAAGTATAGCTGTCACAAAGGGGGTGGGGGGGCAATCAATGTCCCCGTTTTGATTGTATTGCAGTTGTATCCTGGTACACAACACTAAACTATCTTTATTTTAACAGGTAAGGCCCACTGAGCTACATAGCTCTTTTTCAGAAGTGTCCTGGCCACAAATGATAGCTCAACGAAGTGGCTTATCACTTGTAAAAACGCCAAAGAGCTTGCACATTCTAATGGCCATAAAAAAAAAAACTGTCTGCCAATTTAACGGAGGCTGATTGTATTACGCCGAGCAGATGTATGTAATTTTCCAATAAAGTGACTACATAAAGTGACTGCTAATATCAATGTAATGGATAGCACATTGAAAGTGGGGGGTGCGGGGGAGTTTAAAAAGTTAATTTTAATCAAATTATCTGAAACCACAAAAGACATGCTGAGAAAGAGTTTAGCCGAAAAGATGCTAAACAAAATATTGAATACACATAACGCTTTAAAACGATTAGGAATATTAATTAGCAAAAATACTCAGAACATGGCACAAACAGGTTTGAAGACGTCATAGCAAGCAATTGTTGTATAAAAGCACGATTGGCTATTCACAAAATGGTAACCTTAAGGGAGAAAGATGAAAAAATAATGCATGATAGAGATCAAATTATAAAATGAGTGCAGTAATTGTTATGCGGATCTATATAGCAAATAAAAAACATCTCAAGAATTTAAATGTTTTCAGATGAAGAGGAGGAAGTTACAGATGTCACATTTCAAGAAGTCTGCCCATCACAGTTTGCCCAATAGGAAAGCTCCTGGACCAGCTGGTATAACTGTAGAAATCATCAGAAGTGGGGCCATTTGTAGGAACAAAATTAGCAGACGTATTTAATAAATGTTTACACATAAATGAAATATAGTAAAGGCTCTCAAAGCTGGATTTGATACAGCCGGAAATCGGGGGTAAGCCGGAAAGGCTAGGAAAATAAGTAAATTTTAATAATGTGTACGAAAATTCTCCCGCAAATAAAACGCCGACAAGTATGATGATATCTCGGTGGGATTTTAACACCAATGCTACTGGCCTCAGTTAGGTTTGGCACTGTGACTGCATATGTCTGTATAATTCTCATTTTATGAAGATGCTTTGGGACTGTTAATACTCATAAAAGTCTGCATAAAGTTTTAACAAGTTAAGCGAAGTAAAAACTGTCCCTTAGCTCTTACTGATTTAGGATAACAACCGAGGTCAGATGTTCAGGTAGCAAGTAGGCAGGACAAATGAGAGTAATGTAAGAACCCCAGAGATTATTACATGACAATAATGGCTCATTGATAAGCTGTAGTGCATATGATCATCTACGAAATCATAAGTTGTATGTGGATGGCTATAGGGTCGTTTAAATGCGTGGAAGGGAACAGGGTCACGTTGAAGGGAGGGGAGGGCATGTGAGAATAATAGGAGTTTTGAAAGGGGAAAGCCCCAAATTGCATGGAAGGAGACTGCCACTCGATTTTGTCTTGGGCCCAACGTTGGCTTTCTGTGGGCCTGATTCGGGGTTATTTTACTGTAGGAATTTCTGAGCAATGAAATCGAAGCAATTACGCTCACCCTCTGTAAAATTTGGTGACTTTGGAGGCCTCCTTCCTTGTCGGCATCCTTCCTGAAGTGGCGTGGTTTGGATGAGCACTGGGCCAGCCCAGACAGTCGCAGGTAGACTGATAGAAAACTTTTTGTTACGCTCATGCAAACCAACTTCGCGTTCAGACTTTTCTTAAATGCCTCTGATTTCTCCTGCAGCTGTGGACAGCCTCCTCAAGCGGATGACCATTATTGGGATGATTCTTTCTTTTCGTGCCCTGGCACAGGAGGCTCTGAATGATGTAAGTGGTGCCATTGTATAATTTTACTAATCAAACCCACATTACCCGCATTACGGACTGCCCTATCCAACCCCGTGCTACTTTTTGCATGGAGCCACAAGCCACGCATATTCTGGGCACTGCTCGGTGATGCCACCGTGCAAGACTCAGCAAGGACACAAAATGCTCTTTTGCAATGTGTGCGACACTTATTATATTGCGCCATCGTCCACTGCCATGATGTTCCATCATGCGTGCCTGTAAATTTGGGTCCAATTAACTCGAGGTAAATGCTTCAGTGCTCATGCCCATGAGTGCAAATGAGAACATGGAGACCGCTAGGAGTGATTTTTAGCCAAAAACTTATATATTTTTTTAGTTCAGAGGGTCTGAGACAATGAGATTTGGAATTTTAAGCAGATGTGAATTTGAGGTGGCACAGTCATTAGCACGTGCCGCACTATGAACCCGGCGACCCGAGTTAAATTCCCAACCATGGCTAACATCAGTGGTAAGTGAAATCTTATCCATAACCGGCTAGTAGACTGTTCATCCTACGTGAACTAACCACGAAGAATGGTCAAATAAAAGCCCCATGACTGATACAGCATGGTGAGGCATTCATCAGTGATTTGGTAGAGTGCTACAAACTATAATTACTATGGATCTGGGATACTGTATACATATTAAAGAGATCATTAGTGGAAGTAGTCGTATAAATTAACACAATTTTGACGTTTCTAATTTATTGTGAAAGGTTGTAAGCTGTATACATTTTGCACTATCACGTTTTTGTCTTTCTCAGGTGTTGTCCAATCATATTCCATTTCTTTTGGGCTCCATAAAGGACTTTAAGGACCACATTCCTCGAGAGACGGACATCAAGGTATGAAATTATTTTCATGATCACCATTCAAATGAAATCACACCTGCAAATCAGTGTGTAATTATATCCAAAATTCCGGAGACTTTCCTGGGAAAACAAGCTTATTAATAATTAATTATTATTTATATACACCTAAGTCAAGTTATCTCCCTGCTCAATTGTGTATGGCAGTCATCTCCACATTTACAATCCTAAGACAGGATCCAGTCTCTGTTGTGACCCACTACTCGTCATTTACCACAAGATGGTGATCGTATTGACCTCGGATTCGACCACAGACCAGGATTTGCACTCGCAAACGTCCTGATGCATGGTTGGGCGCTTTGAACAAAAAGCAACAATGCAACAAAGCGTGACATTGTTCAACGTAACCTTGGTTCGCTTAATGCAATCACGATCGGCGACACCGCACATTAACAACGATGCAGGTTTGATAATTGGTTTTTTACCCTTCTATCTGGCAACAAAACGGACACCTTTTTTACAAGGAGTCATGTTTACATAGACCACAATACCTGCAGTCATAATGCAAACAAAAAACATAACTCTGATAATGTATGCACTGTCCTTGAAGTTGATTGGTCCACACCCGAGACAGCTTTCCTTAGAGCCTAGTCTCACATGGGTTGGACCAGATGACGCCAAAAGGCGCACAACTCAAAGACAATGCACCATCAGAGTATTAGAGCTCGGGGTAAGCATTTACACCATTGGAACCTCATTTGCCAGTAAAAATATGATCATTGTTTTTTTACCCTTCTATCTGGCAACAAAACTGACACCTTTTTTTACAAGGAGTCATGTTTACATAGACCACAATACCTGCAGTCATAATGTTTTTTGTTTGCATTATGACTGCAGTTATTGTGGTCTATGTAAACATGACTCCTTGTAAAAAAAAGGTGTCAGTTTTGTTGCCAGATAGAAGGGTAAAATAACCAATTATCATATTTTTACTGCCAAATGAGGTTCCAATGGTGTAAACGATGCAGGTATCGCCGACTAAGTTCGAATGACGCCGCACCCCTCCCCCTCCGCACCCAGGTGGCCATGAGTGTGTACGAGCTGTCGTCGGCAGCGGGCCTTGTGTGCGAGGTCGACCCAGCTCTGGTCATGGCGCTCTCCTCGCAGAAGGGAGGTGCGTCTCTCTCTCTCTTCGTTGATGTCGAGCGATAGACAAATGTTGAGTGAGGCTTTGTACTGCACTCTGTGGGAATCGCGGTGTAGAAGCCCCGGTGCAAGGAAGTTGATCCCACCCTCTGTATTCCCCCCCCCCCCACCCTACTCAGCCATCCCCTCACCCTGTCTACCCCCCTACTCACCCATCCCTAAGAAATATAGACTCAAAATGTACACAGGATGCATAAATGTGCACCGCAGGGATAGCCTAAATCTCTAAACAAGGCATGAACGGCACACACACTGATGCATGCGCACGTACATGAATGCATGCATGTGCACGTACATGCACACACGCTGTTTATCTGGTATGCACGGATACATTTGTGCAAGGGCACCATGAGCAGGCCGGTAATGATTCACCCCTTCCCAATTTGATTAAATTGCACAATTCGAGGTGACGATTCAATCAAAGAATCGGTTGTTATTTTTTTCTATATACGAATATATAATGGTGCATTCTAACACCCCCAGTGGCTGTATTGATTTGTATATATTGTATGTTACTACATAGAAGCAAAATGTGCTACAAACTCAACAACACTGATTCGAATGGTCAAGCAACCTCTTGTGATCAATGCAGTGTGAGGAGGTATTCGTCCAGCAATGTGCTATATTCACAAAGGGCTGTAAATTATGAATTGCCATGCTCAGCCGCGATCAATCCCGCATTTGTACTAACGGCACCGTCAAGCCACGACCATCTACAAAGATCTTGCAATCGAGCATTCCATCTCGGCAGCTGCAAATAAGCTGATTGCATCGCCGCATCTCCATACTCGACTCAATCTTGGGGAAATTCTCTCATTTGGCTTGGGTAATTGAATTATCATTATTTAAGCATATAAAACAATAATCTTTATTTATCCTGGAGAAATTCGATGAGCTATGAAGCTCTTTTTCACAAATGTCTTTTTCACATTTTAAGGTTAATAAGAGCTGAATTCTGCTCCTTCAAGATTTCTATTTAGATGACCATTTCTCTCCAAAGGACCAACAGTGATGACTGGCCCCTGCCATAGATAGCAATGCTGAATTCCCACCGCTGGCTTCAGGCCACCAAGCACGGAAAAGCATCACTCAATTCTCATTGCACCATGGACACACTTGACATAAATTCACTGGGAAAACAATGTGTTCAGGAACACACGCACACCCGCATCATGGTTCCTATCTGCACAACTCGCTTTTGTATTATGCCAAAAACATGTCCGACCAATGCAACGGAGCCGTGATAATGGAGGCGCTTTCTAAACAGCTGAGACGTGCGCCTTTGAAAATAATGCCGGGCTTATTTGTAAGTGAAACATTAAGTTATTCCTGCAAGACAACCGTGCCCAGAAAGTTATCTGCACGTGTGTGCTCGCGGGACTTTGCGTGAATGTGCATTGTGCTTGCGGTGAAGGGTGTGAATGACATTACTTTTGGAATTGCTCCTTCCACGTGGAGCAGCAAGGGGCGGTGTTCTGCTGAGTGCTTCAATAAGATGAGCTCTTAACAGATTGTAATGTCACGAGCAGCCTTCTTGACCGGCATAGCTGGTTCCACTTAATATTGGCAAATGTTTACGTAAATTGCCAAAGAAAAGAGCTCAGGATAAATGTGAGGAAAACAAAGAGTAATTAAACAATTCAAAGATAGTTGATGAAGGGATGCAACTGGAACACACATCAGAGTATGTACATCTCGAGCATGTATTGAAGGTGGACTGGGATCAAAGTGATTTAGGAGACGCGCGAGAGAACATGTTGAAATACTTTCAGAAAGTGGAACTTGATAATGAGGAGCAACAATGCAGTGTGCTTAAAGAATAATATTTTCAATTGGTACATATTTTCTGCTGTGACATGGACTGGAAACATAGACACCGCCAAAGAACTTGGAACAAAAAGTAGAAAAGGTACTCAAAGCGTTAAGAGAAGTGCGTGCCTGTAAATACACCGAGAGACAGAAACAAGAACACATGGATCAGACATCGTATACAAATCATAGACATTCTTATTGACTGTTAAAACAACAAAGTGAAGGGACTTGGGCTGGCTGCGTCACTACACAGGATGATGGCGAGTGGTCGAGACTGACGATGAAATGGTCAAGAAGAATACTGCCACCGAGTTGAGGCGATGGTGAGAACAGCTCAAGTGTTGGGAGCTGCATGGATTGTTGCATTGCTGGACCACGAGGGATCACGGTGACCTGGGGAGGCCTTCATCCAGCAGTGGATAGTTCTTGATGGGTGATGATAATCATTATGATTGACAGAATACAAGAAAAAACGGCTTGTAAAATGGCTGCTTCAAATTGTTGCAAAGAATTGAAAAGTTCAATTTCACGTATGCGATTTGAATATCTTGATAGTACAAAAAATATATCATGTAGTAATGTGCTCACACCCAACTAAATCAAAGGTAATTTTTTTGTATGCACGTATGTGCGTGTACTTTTAGCGATGGAAAAAAATAGTTTCTCACGAAATTTTGGAAAGATGAACTGGCAAAAAACACCATGACTAACAGTATAATGTGTTGCAGCTGATGGTTTGCAATCAATGGAGTTTGTGCGTATTCTATTGGAGTTTGTGATAAGAGCCTCTATGAAGTCCGATACTCATGTCACCATAAAGAATGCATGCATCTGCCATTGGCTGCTCAGTGTATTACACCAAATACAAACAGTCCAAATGAATATGGGTGTTGTTTAACAGTATGCCTTTGTGTCTATAAGTAAGAAAGTTAAGTCTATTTTTTTCATGCTTAATCTTCGGAGAGCTGCTGACGCAGAGTTTCTCTCGATAACATCTCCAAAGTTGCACATTAGGATAATCCACCCAGCTCAGTAACGGCTCTGCAAAAAAGTCCATATTGCAGATTTTAGTGCCTAACTGCTAGCAGATGTTGAGTTGGAAATTTTATAGTTGCAAAGAATAGTGGTATTGTGTGAGAATATTGCCACTCTTAATTTTCGAATGAGCAACCGTGATGTCTTCACTGTCTGTACTGTCTGTTACCTTTCAATTCCACGCAATGGTCTTAATACGCACTTTTACATTTCAACCTTCGTCGCGATCAAATCAGCAATCCAGACGCGGCCAAGTTAAATTTCTCAGGGGTATTTCCATTTTTTTCGTGACAATGCTGCCTTCACTATTGCCACCGCGATCGTCGTGTTCACGATGGCAACTCCTCGCAATGCTCGCATTGTAGATCGAGGGAGGTAGTTATTGATGCTGGCCTACGCTTGATCCCGCTCATGCTGCTGCTCGGGCTGCCGCTTTGTACGGAAGGCGCTTGGCGTCGTCTTGCGCAGTGCGCGCACCGCCCTCCTGCGGGAGCACTACATCAGCTGCGAGGGCGCCAGCTGCCCTGCTCCTCTGGCCTCTGTCCTACCAGCTTGGCTGGGAGGACGGTGGAAAACGCGCACGTCAGCAAATGTCGGAGAGCGCAGGCACGGGGGCATTTGCCGAACCGCCCGTTCTCTTGCCCGCTCGTTTGCTTCGCAAGCTCCCTCGCACGCTCGCTTACTCGCTCGCTCATGCGTTCATTTACCCACTATTTCAGTGGCGCGCTCACTCGTTCACCTGAGCACTAGTTTGTTGGTTCACACGCGCGCTTGCCCACTCATTCACTTCTGTCAACGTTCAATCACTTGTTCACTCGTGTAATGTTATCCCTCTCTTGCTCCCCTCAGTATCTTGGCTACGTAAAACACTCACGCTTGCTCATCTTTACTTGCTCACTCTTGGCACACCTGCAGTCTTGGGGTAGTTGGGTCTCTTTAATGTTACTCCACCAAGCTTCTGTTGAGGTTTTGCGTGACCCACTTGCGCATCCTAGCGTGCAGACATTTAGCTGAAAGTGTTTTTTCATGGTATCTATGTAAATTCAATGGCAACTGATGTGTTTTCACCTCGTGCCGCATGTTGTTCGGCATAGAACATCACAGGGAACAACACGTGGAAACAACTTAAAACCACATTGGAGAGGTAGATACAGCACAAGCGCAAATATGTGCTCAGCCATGTGAATGCGATCATAAATACAAAGGCTGGGATGTCGATAATTTGTTGAGGGAGCAGTCACGTGCTCAAATCCTGGCCACGGTCGACTTGGGGCCCCATCCTCTCCATTATTCCAGGCAGAGTAACAAGAGCACGGCTCGGTGAGATGGCACTGTGTGGCGGGAAGTTGACAGCGTGAATCCTCAAAGAAGGCTGGTCCTTGCCAAAGGAATGTGGAAATGTTTATTTCACCTTGCCAGCCCCTGTTTGAGCAAGGGGGATAATTTGACGTTTAAAGTAATAAACCACCTATTCTATGTATAAGTGCCGCCAATGGAAAATGTATTGTGAAGTCAATGTCAAGTGAAAAACCATTATTTGTTTTGTTAAATAGTTTTCGAGCAGATGTTCCTCTGATGTGGTTATAGGAAAGGCTCTAGCACAATGCTTACAAGTTCAGTGACCTATTCTTAACTTCAGAAAGTCTTCTTTTTGTACACACTATATTGTGCCAAACTAATAAGATAACTGATATGGTTAAATACTCGGAATAACGTAGGATGTGTTTTCAGTTAATTTATTCATATGTGGTGATTCGTGTTCCAAGTATTCGGGGAAAAAAACACTCGTGTTAGTTTGCCAAGATGAGATTGCCAAACACAACTGAAGCCTTTCCCTGAGACGAGTGTCAGGTTTGCCTGTTCCTGAACCCCTTGCATTGGGGCACGCCAGATACCAGCAAGCGCCACGCCGCTTTCACCCCAGCGCCACGATCGGCCGTGCGAGCCCGGCCGATTTTTTTTCTCTCCAGCGTTTCTAACCCCTTGACCTGAAGGAAATTGAAGGTGTAGCCTCGCATCATGGTTAAATACAGTACGTGGTGGTCCAGATGTCTTGTGACCCCCCCCCCCCCCCCATTTAATTTTCTAAAACTTACTATTTGGTTTCAGTAAGGTTTATTT